AACAAATGGACCGCTTGAAAGCAGCACTCATCCAGAAGAGGCCATCTTTGTTCAACAGAGGCCGGATTGTGTTCCATAAAACAATTCCAGGCCACTCACGTCTTTGGTGACGGGTTAGAAGCTCCAGGAGCTCGGATGGGAGTTCCTAATGCTCCCACCCTATAGTCCGGACCTGGCACCAAGTGATTACTATCTTTTCCTGTCTGGTCTTGACCACGGTATGGGCTGCTTCCTCGAGTTTTCATGTCTCCGAGTTTTTCGACAATAGGGACGCAGCCTTCTAAAGGAGGGGTATAATGAAGTTGGCATCTCGTTGGCAAATGGTTTACGAGCATATTTGATTAAATCGTTATCATATTTTGAAAAATCAATAAAAAACCGAACGAACCTTGGAGTTGGCCTAATATATGAGGAGTAGTCACCTGCGACGGATAATACTTTGAATGACGTATTTTTGCCTTTTTGTCCACAAAATACACTTATTCGATCACCTAAAAATTTGTACTTATGTAAGAAAATATCAGATAAAAAGTGATTTGCACACCAAACTTTTAATCGAATTGACGAGTACGAGGAGTGGCGAACTGGATTTACTATACCAACCTGTGCTTTTAAATGCAAATCTGATTACAGGGATATTATTTTAAAAATTATTTGTTTTGTTTGCTTTAAGGTTACCCGATCGCGGAACCCTGGTCAGGCGCACTTCTGCCTTTTGACCCATTACGATACCTATGTTGGCTGTGTGAAAGGTTATTCCTCTCGCGTTTTATGCTCAAACCATTTAATGTAATGAATGAAGTTTAGGTTACAAATGACGTCTATTGAAGAAGACATTTCCAAGAGGTAATGTTTCACCGATTCCCCCACATTTATGTCCCTACAGCTGCGGTGGACGTCGTTTGAGCAACAGCCCATCCTTTTACTAAAATCCCTCACAATTTGTATGATTATTGGTGGTCCTTTTTAGAAAGAGTAAAGACACAGTTCTATGCGCTTCGAGGAAATACGCATTAGTTTCAATCCGACATCTGGTGTAGGCTCCCCAGATGAAGGCTCTCCTTAAAAGATACTTCACCGAGGAAATAGTTATGCCTACGTCATGTATATAATTTAATGATTATTCCCTTCATATTATGGTCAGGAACCCAAAGCACGAACGTATCGCAATGCAATCGATAATATTTACAAATCTAAGTTTCAATAAAATAAAAATTATGTAAAAAATATTAGCTCTTTTTACACAAACTTGAAATACATTGAATAACTTACAGACAGCGTCAAAATAAAGTATACACCTTTTACTCATTCATTTCACTCTCTTTAAACAATTGAATCGATTATCATTAAGATGATGATTTTAAAAATTTTAATATTTTTATACCGAAATAAAGAGTAAAATGCATGAGAAAAAAGTGTATACTTTATTTTGACGCTGACTGTATATGTAAGTGGAAACATAAAAATATTATGAGCAAACACGTTGAGTATGAAAAATTTCAAAGTGAAACTACCATAAAGAATTTTTATATCATGTTTTCAACTTCGTCAACTGTGAATAGAATAATTGAAAAATTCTGGTAGATAGGAACCTTTGGAAATGCCAAATACACTGGCCGCCTAAAAACAAGTCATACACAACACAATATCGAAGTAGTGCGTGAGAGTGTCGGTGACAATCCAGGAACCTCAATTCGGCGTCAGGGAGCATTATATCAATTTTTACGTAGCTTTCTATAGCAGAATATCACTCCATAGGCAGAGAATTCTATGAACACAACAACAGAAGACGAAGTGTGATGAATGGATTATTGAGCACCAACAAATGGGTGCTGATTTCTAGAGAAAAATTGCAAAATTATCATAAGCGATGAAGGAGATTTTCACCTTGCTGCAATGCTAGCCATTCAGCTAACGCGATCGAACACGCTTGCATATATGTACTAGCGACCGTTGATTGCGCTGCCAAAACTTTATTAATGGCTACCTGCTCTTGTATTTTTATTGCTGCCGAAAAGTATGCTATGAATTTGAATGCAAATTTTTAAACTACGCTACTTCCGCTTAAGAGAATGCAAAGAATTCGAACTTTACTCTTGAACTTTTGAATAAATTTTCGTGTTAATAACAACCGCTTAATAATTTTTTCAGCTAAAATTGATTTAGATTTAAATTGTAATTTCACAGTTGGGATATATTTTAAATCTTTGTTATGAATAATATTTTAACATTTTCGTATGCAAAATAAGTTATTTTTATAGTTCACTAGCGTATCCTGCAGCGCTTACACATACTTATTGAATATATGAAAAACTAGTCATGGAATATCTTTTTATCATGACTTTATTCACTCAATACTTGTGAGAATGAATAATTTTTGGATTTACCAATGTAAATGATCCACTCCACGGAGAGAAGAGCCACCTATGTGCCGAATTTAAAGAAAGCCGAACCATAAAACCCTCTTCTCGCTGTGAACAAAGATGTTATATAATTCTAAGACCAACTGAATATGCACCTGAAATTTCTTTGATATCGGCAAAGTCGTTTCGGAGGAATGTCGTGTCTAACACTGTGACACCAGAATTTTATATATTAGATATTTGAAGTTTGTGCCTTAAGTCTTTAGTATAATGCTTATATGGTTGCATGAAGGAAGTAAAATTTAGTATGGTATGCACATAGACCTTCATATGAGTCAGTTTACAATATTTTCCAATACCCATAATTCTAGAAAACGTACCTAAGTCTACATACAGAAATAACCTCAATGCTAGTATTGAAGCTGAACCTAAAGGCGCATTCGTTTCTAGTACTATTGTTAGGGTGGTTTTGAGCGTTCTGCTCCGGTAGTGCCTCTAAGTATAGCTGCCTCACTGCAACTGCTTCAGCCACTGATATGGTTTTTTCTGGAAAACTGAAGCTTAACGAAGAAGACCTTAAAATGCATGTCTATCATTGAAACAGTGCTGTAAAGAATAAAACAGCTGCTAAAACCGAAATAGATCACAACACCCTCATAGAAAGGAAAAGTTTAACTAAGAAAAATAACGAGCAAAATCAAAATAAAATAGTTGAAATTGCGGTAAAACCTAATGGCTAAGGAAGAATTCTTAAATGTGAAAGTTTTTATCAATACCAACTTTGTTTTCCGTACTTTAACTTTAAAAGCTAAGGTACCCAGCCGTCTATAAAGGGAACGTCCGTTCCGTCCGCAAACTTACTTGAAAATACGACAATTAGCTTTAGGCGTATGATGGAAGATCATATGACATTGATGCATAGTAAGTTGGGAGATTTAATTCGGAATGAAAATAAAATCTACTTCCACAAGTGATCTTAATTAAGCCGTAAATGACTTTATTGGAATGAAATAATTGGAACGTTAACAGCTTCATTCAACATAAAAATGAGTATCGAATTATGCGAAAAGCCAGGCAATAGATATGTTGCTAATATTTAAAACTCGTTAGACAAATTTAACGAATTCAATAAGGATGGACTTTTGTGTTATGGCACCGAACAACCAAAGGGTTTCAGTCCACAGCGGAACTGGAGTGTTGGCCAGGAGGAAAATTAAATATTGTAATTAAAGGAAGAGTATTGCAAGGACCACATATGGGAACTCTGGTGGAATAAACATTTCTAGCGAAAAACTTATTGCAGCGGAGCTACCTCAAGCGATTGAGGAAAAAGTACTTATGTTTGAACTTTGATGGAGAGCTTTTCCGCATTCAATTGTACTAATAAGAACATATTTCCGTCTATATTCTCCAAGCTATTTATTATAATTTACTATACATCAAATCTTATAATAAATATCCGCAAAAGGAAGTCCTCTATATAGCGGAAAACCACTTCTCCTTCTACATATGGAATATTTGTCTCAGAACATATCAGCAAACAGGCTCCATAATAACGATAAACTCATTCTTGGGATAATCAGACATGTTACGAACTTGCGCTCATCGCAATGAAAGCAATTAAGTCCATTATAATCTTAAACGACTTTAGACTCAGCGCTATGGTTTTGACATTTCTGCACTCCACACTGTCTCATGCCGAGCACTAACTAATGATCCACAATTTTCAACGAGACATTGCATCTCACCTCTAAGGAAAATGTAAACATGCTTAGTCAAAGCGTACTCTCTAGGCAAACAAAAAATGAAATCACAAATGATGATAGCGTTACCTCCGCAACGCTAGAGTACCCTTTAGCACAGGTGACATGGATTTCTATCGAGTCAAATGGTTTCCAACCAAAGATGGACGATGAGGAAGGTTTTGTTGTGTGTTTGATGGGATTGGCAAGGAATCATCCACTAAGAGCTGCTTCTCTACTGCCAAACCCTTGATTGGAACCTTTAGTGAGCGCCCAGCTTTGTCCACCAGGAGGAGAATTTTTTTCTACGCCAAGCCATATACATCGACAGTGACTCGGCAGGAGCTCCGAGAGAATAGTGAAAAAGTTCTTATGCACATTATGGCTACGGAACCCTTCTATTTATGGCGAATGATGACTGATGAAGAATCGGCCACAATAGAGTTGGAATGGATGATTTTAAGCTTTAATTGGTTTCGGTGAAAGGCTTTTTTGTCCAAAGATGTAATCTGGTCAGCACACGGTTTTCAATATTTGTCAATTATAAACTAGACGAGAGAAAAATTATCTTAACCAAATTTCAATTGTGAGAAAGTTAAAGTTGTGATTGACAGAAGGCATTCATCCAATTCGCACTGTTTTACGAGAACCGAATGTTGAGTTGGCTTACATCTTTAGCACATGGAACACAAGATGTTTCTTTCAAACTGAAGAACACTTTGTAGAAACGAGCTGTAATTCTGAGTGACTCTCTTTTGAACATTCGTTAACTTTTGGATCGGAAAAACAAAATAATCTGCTTACTCCTAATTGATGTATTTCACAGACAATTTAATTAATACACAGTATTCTTTCGAATTCGAAAAATCACTAATTTTTATTTTATAGAAAATAACAACTTTTCAAACGTAAAGATTTTTTGTTCAAAAATATAAATTCATTATTCACAACTTCCAATTGCAGCGAGTTTTAGAAATCCTGTCAGCACTTTAACCATAATAACCACCACGGTAGCCACCTCTATATCCACCACGATAACCACCACGATAGCCACCACGGTAACCGCCGCGATAGCTACCATAGCGACCGTAACCATATTGACGCGCCAAACGTACGCCTTCATTCTCATGTCCCTGCGGCTCGACATCGTACAAGGACAAAGGCTGCTCAGCAGCGTCTAAGGCGTCAGCAACACTTTCAGAATTTCCATAGACACCAGTGGTAATAGCCATTAGGAGTACTAAAGCTAAGCAAAATGTGAGTAGACGCATTTTGAATTTATTATTATTATTTTTTTTTTAATTATCCTTGTTTGTGGGAGCTGAAATTTTGCTGATATTCAAATATGATCTGCCGTAAGGTTTCGAAAACTGTGTGATTAAATGATGGAAATGCTTTGCTTTTATACTCTGAAATTATTTGTAATTTCTTGTAAACGTTGTATATGGTTATATGTGTATAGAAGTTTATATGTAATTGCAAATGAAATTAGTAAAATAAATCCCGCAGATTAAAACAATCATCAAAATGTCGTACATTGCTCAGAATGTAATCTTAATCGTGATTCTTTTTTTTTTGATTTCTACTTCAAAAGGCAATCAGATGCGCTTGTCAATATACATACTGCCGAGTCATGCGATTGATACGCAAAAAACAACAACAACAACAACAACAACTGTCCACCCCATTGTTGCGCAAGCGATAGGCGTAGGCTGAATTTCACCGCAAAATAGCACCGACGCTTAACTCTGCCCGACTTCTCTGCTTCTAGCACTGCTCGTTTACTGCGTGATGCATCACTACGCTATCTATCACCTGTCCAGGTCAACAACATTATTCATAGGTTTTCTCGTTCAATTTCAACTGTTGAGTATTAGTGAATGAAATCGCTTAAAAAACTATTATTGAATAAACAAACCACTCATGTCAAGAATTATGACGTCTTATACAGGGTTGCCCATTTTGCCCTCTCAAAAGTAAATGTGAATAAATTCATAAAAATATTTTTTTCATGAAATTCTTTTTTACCGCGGCTACCGCGGTTTTTAACGTAGCCCACAAACAAAATGCCCAACGTTGTCAAATCTCACGAGCTCGAGCCAATCGACATCGCCAAGACGAGAAACCACGTCGGGAAATTTCCTTTGCACTTTTTGTAGCTCTTGTTGAAACCTTATAATCTCCAGCTCGAATTCTTCAGCTGCAGACCAAAAAAGTCAGTTATCAAACGATCATGATGCTCCGAATCGACAGCGACAGCACGTCGTTGTCATTTCCAATCAATTTATGGATGTAAAGGTCAAATCAAACTATTTGAGGATTTTTAGAGTCCCGAAAGGAACAATTTTGGTTATTTACTTATTCTCCGAGTGAGAAATGTGCCCAGTGAAGATGAAGAGAATAAACACATGCGGATCATCGGCAGAGGGGAAACGAGCAAAGCGATGTTGCTCAGGCTTTACAATATCTCTAACCGAACTAGTCTCTTAAAAATTTATGCTGCACTTTTAAAAATATGAAATGGATAACCCTATATAATTGTATTATTTAAATTTATTTGAAAATTTTCTGAGAATCGGCCAATGTGAGCACGTTAGTTGCATTGTGGGTTTTAGTACGTTTGACTCAGGGTGGTGTAGTATAATTAACTTATATTGTATGTAAATGTTGTTGCACTATTTGTATTAATTTAAATTTTATTTACCTTGTCAATAATAGGAAAGTAATTTTAAAAGGTGTTAAAATTATAAAATGAAAGATTACTAGCCAGTAAAGCAAAGCTGAGTGCGATAAAATTTTTATTTCACTTTTTATTCTATGAAATTTTATGACGCGCGTTTGTATAAGTGTAACAGTGAGTGCGGGCGGCATGACAATGCCGGTTGAGAAAAGGCTGAAAACGAAATCCTAGAAAAAAGTCAACATAAAAAATAAAAAGAGAATGCCGACCATAAGGGCGCCTCTCTTACAGTCGATGCCTAATGAGGCCTCATAAAATATTATTTATTTTAACCATTTTGATAATAAATCTATTAAGTATTGAATTTTGTTTAATGCTCACTTTCTTTGCAGGTACTGTCTGGCTGTTTAGCATAACAATAATCAAAGGAAGAGAATATATTAATTTATTTTCTTGCACCCCTCACTGGCATATCCCTACTGCTACTCTTTCACTAATAGTGAGAGTTTATTTTATTGGCCTCCCGATCCAACTTCAGCTTACTGGCTCGGTTCGCACTAAGCTTATACAAAACTTTAAGGGCGACCTGCCTATGCCCTGTGCCGTCGAAGAAGATTAGTTCCTTATTAGAGTTTCGAAAAAGCAGAGGCTTTAATCTCACTCATTTGCCCTTGACGTTCCCATACTTGTGGCGGGGCTTTTTGTCAGCGGGGATTACTACGCCTCTAAGGTTGCAACTCTTATCGCAGGGCAAAGAAGTTCGTTAAGATGCGGCTGCCAATGCTTGAGGTTTTATGACGCTGCGTATTTTGGCGTGATTTTCACTGAACTGAAACCTTTAGAATGTAAAAAAAGAATAAAAGGGAAAGGGGTAAGGAATGGTCGACAAACAAAATTGAATTTTATAAAATTTCAAACTATCATTGGAGCAGTTGAGCAAGGAGCAAGTATCAAGCTGCTCACAGTGCTCGATAGCCGAGTATCTAGAGCTCTAGTATGTTCTACATTCTCAAGGTCTAGATCCGTGGTATCGAATAGGGAAGAACACTACCACCTATTGATCGATGCGATACCTCATAGCGACTTAACAGTCCTGAAGTAAGAGATGTTCGAGGCTCTTGTGATTGTTCCATAGATATAAAATAGTAAAAGTTTCATATCAGCAACGATGGAATAGTAAATAGTGCTTAAAACATTCTGTATGTCGAAAGCAGCATTGATGAAGAAAAGATAAAAATTTCTTCCATCTCGCTTATAGATATGCCACAAATGGTGCCATGCCACGTGTAAGGTGTGTGAGATTAACGCATATAGTCAAAATAATTGTGGGTTCTAAACATCGCAGGTCCGCCATTATCGAGAGACTCACCGGGCATCAGAACTTCGGAAAGGCACGTGAGGAAAAAGTTTATGTTATAACATATCTTCGTCGTTATCGAGGTCTCCAAAGAAAGCACGGAATTGGGATCCTTTACGTCGTTAAGCATAAATAGGATAGCTTTCATCAACTTTCCATTTATTTAATGATGTCAATATTTTTTTTAATTCATTTTAAAATTCAACTTAAAGTTTAAAATTTTATTTTTATTATATTTTTTTACCCTAATTATTGTTTCACTCTTTTCCATATTTTCTTCTCTTATTTTTGTTTAATTTTCAAAGATTAAGTAAAAATAATTTAATTTTGAGGTGGAGTAAGTTCGGGTATTGCAGAAACCATTTCACTTTGCCCTGATTTTTTTTCCAAATTAAAGGTAGTGAAAAGAAAATATTATTTCCCTGTTATATCCACAGCAACAACTTTGGTTGCCGACGTCGTCAGCGCATTCGCTTGCATCAGCCCCAAATTCAGATCTTCATTACCTTCCATCAGTCTGGTGCTGTAAACCCATATTATTCGGTTGCACTGCTGATTACGAAATTTATATCGAAAAATTTCGAATTTTATGAAATTTTATGTGCATTTGGGATTGGTACGAAAGTTGACCAACATACATATATTTTTCCCAGCGAACAGTGGACCAGATCTTATAACATCTTTGTCTCCCAAACGATTCTACTAAAAACTCCATGGAGACACAACGTAAAGGTTTATAGGCCAAAATGGATGAGGACAAGGCGTCTTGTTTTGCAAAGCACCTCAGTATCTCTAAGGCGATTTTCGGCCGAGCTCCTCCCCCAATTTGTGGTTTTGCGTCTTGATGTTTTCTCAACCAATGGAGGAACCTACCATTTATACCAAGCCGTCCCCGGACGGCTGATGGTTTTTTTTTATAAGGACAGTTGTGTTCAGCAGACATCAGAACTTCACCTCCCCTTGGTCTGTTACACGCTTACATTTGAATCCAAGGTGATCTCCGCTTTTGAGGCTTTTGACTTGTTTAAATCGTTATTCTTTCCTTCAAATTTAGCAAAATCAACAATAAATAAAATTGTTAAGTTCGGTTTTTAATTTTACTTTAATACATTTTGGCATACAGATAAAAACGGGTTTATATTGTAAAAAACAATTAAATTGTCATATACATATGCACACTATTATAGTCGCTATTTATCCAGAGAAATATCCTAACCGATGTTACCGTAGCCACCTTGACTGGCCGCATTTGCGGTTGCTGTTGCACTGCTGGAACTGCCACCATAGCCACCACCACCCGGGTAACCACCAATAACACCAGGAAAACCGCCGCCATAACCGCCAGGATAGCCACCGCCATAACCGCCAGGGTAGCCACCGCCATAACCGCCATAACCGCCAGGGATGCCACCGCCATAGCCGCCATAACCGCCATAACCGCCATAACCACCGTGACGATGACGCGCCACACGTCTTAGCTCCTGTGGTTGCTCATCCACAATCAAGGCCACAGGCTGTTCAATACTCAAAAGTGTCTCCCGTTCGACAGGCAAACCATGACAGGCAACAGCGAAGAGGCAGAGCGCCAAGGAAAGCGCAGCAATGAATTTCATTTCTATAGACTTTTCGAAAATACTTTTTCAAAAACTACAAATTTTAATAATTCCAGAATTGATGGTTGTTATCTGCTGAAGCGTTGTTCGAGCACTACTTATACGTTGCTGCTTTCCGATTGTCTTATAACAACGATTTAGGGAGAAAAAGTTGAATTTGGGAGATTCCAGTGGTTATGCTTGGTCTCTTATATGTTTGCATGTGTGTGTACTTTCGCTTTTGTCTTTTCGTTTAGGTGCTAAAACCACTTTTTAGCAAAGCTTTTTTTCTATCGAAATTCTAAATATTAAATTTTTTGTTGAAAGTGTTTAAATTTGCAATTGGAAAGAGCGCAATTATTCCAGTTTTAAGTTCAATAAATAAACCGTTTTTGACTCGGTATTACGCTGTGCTTAATAATGAAATGTTTCATTTTTATTAAAACCGTTTTCATATTACTGTATATACACGTATGTACGTATATTGCTTGTACGTACAATTAGGCTGTGCTTGGTTGCAATCATATTTGTTACAATTTTTTTTAGCGCAATATTTCATACAAAATGAGCAATACGATATTCTATTCTTTTTTTTTCTTACACATCAAATAAATTTATTTATTGAATCTGCTTAATTTAAGCCTAACAAAATATATTTCAGGATCTTTATAAAAAATAAATTAGATACTGCTTTAGGCCATTAATAGCAATGGACGTCAGGTAAAACCTTGCTCTTCTAATCACTGGCAAATGCTTTCTTCGAAGGCGCGTTCGACTTATTGGGCAGCATAAAATCTTCGCTGAAGGATTCGAATGATTTTGCAGTTTCGGCAGGTTTTTTTCACTTATGCGTGCTTTCATTGCGCATATACCAAAGTGCACCCGTGAAACCCGAGTTTTTATGCATTAACCAAGTTAGGTTGCCGGTTTTAAGTTGGGTCGTTCAGGTCCCTCGCCTATCTATGTGGATGCCAAAATATTTAACTCGGCTTGCTTGAGTGACCATTATGTTGTTTAGCTTCAGTATTGGATCTGTTTCTGTCTTTACAGTGAATAGAACATGCTCAGTTTAACAACCAATTTCCAATGAGTTTTAAGTGATTTTCTAGTGTGATTGAGGCTTTTATTGGGTACTAGCTTGGACATAAAATAGCAGTCTGCGAATGTTGTGATTAATACTTTTGTGCATGTTGGAATGTCTGCAGTAAATAAGACTTACAGAATATGTCCCAAAATGCAGCCTTGAGGAGCACCAGCCATAATTGAACCACCGAGATCTGAGATAAATTCATTTACTTAAATTGAAAAAAAATCTGATTGGAATGTTTTGGACAAGTCATTTTTATTTTGTATGTACAAATGTAAGTCCTTCATGCCATCCTTTATGGAATGCTTGAGTCACATTAAGAAATATTGTTGAGCTCCGCCAACTCAAATGACCTCCTGATCTCATTTGGTAGTGCAATGGACTAGTTCTATAATACCATATTATTTCCCAATAACTGAATTGATGATTTGCAATAGTTTCGTATTCGTAGAGAAAAGGATGTATTTTAGATAGGAGCACTTTTTCAAAAAGTCTGGAAAGAACGAGAAACAAGCTAATTGGCCGATATGATGCCATTTGGTATTGATATTGTGTAGAGTGGAATTTTCAAACTCTTCAATGATGGCGAAAGTGCGCTTCCTTGCATGATCGCATTGCCCTCACATCTATGAAAGCAGCAACGACATTATAATTGTAGGCTAATCGACTTTTATTGGTCTGTTATTAAGGAACGCATCTTGGGCCCTATGTGGTTTTAACATTATGATGTCGCGTGCGAATACAAAACACGAGCGAATATGGTCTTACTACGAGTAATCACTCGCGTCTGCGTAAACTTTCGTGTTGGCCACCGAGATCGAAATCGCAGGATTTGACACCTTTGAACTTGTTTCTAATGGGTAACACAAGAGATCGTGTTTATGCGAATAAGTCTGTAACTCTAGAGCACTTGGAAGGGGCAAGTTATGACTGATATTCCGCCAAATATGTACCAAAAAGTGATCGAAAATTACTTGAAACGGAATGAACTTACAAAAATTCGCAAGACGGTCGTGTGATTGACATTGATATTACACATATAATGCCAAGGTTCAAACTTTTTAATAAAAAATGGATTTCATGATTACATTTCTTTAAATGTATTTTATTTGCGTATATTTTGACGATCGCCAATATTTATTATATAATATTTTGCCTTAGTTGAAGCTTCGTAGAAAATCTTCTTCCGCGTAACTCAGTTAATCCACATCGTTTTTGAATAGCTCTGTCGGCCAGCCAGCGGCCTTCCCCGCTTGGTTGCACTTTGAGCGGATGACTACCATTCGAAGTGGCTTGTTCTTGGTTGCCTCTTCTCTTTTCTCGGTATATATTCTCTCACGAACGTGTATAGGTCGATTGCAATGTTGAGGGATAGACAACCTATTTTCACCCCACCGTAGCACGATATTCCGCCTCGTAAGAAGCGTAAAAGATATTGTCGACAAGGACCTCCGTCGTTGTCATTGCAGTTCTTGGCTGGTGGTTTTACGAGAATACCAACCAGCCGAGCAGACACAACTCTGCTCCCCAGTTAAGAGAACAGACATTTGGCGAGTGTGTACCCTTAAATTGTGGACCTTAAAACATTTGCAGTGGTCGCCGGCATTATTCCTCAAGTCGGCATTATTGCACAAATTTATTTTTTATGTTTTTAAAATCATTTAATTTTCTATATTTCATAAATATATTACATATTATAATTAATTTCACTCCTCAAGGAACTTTTTAACCAAAATATCCACCATAAGAGTTCGAACTGGCGCTTGCACTAGCACTGCTGGAAGAACCACCATAGCCACCGCCTGGGAAACCGCCATACCCGCCATAGCCTGGACCACCACCGTAGCCACCGTATGATGGACCACCATAACCGCCATAACCGCCTGGGTAGCCACCACCATAACCGCCATAACCGCCGTAACGGTGACGCGCCACACGTCTTAGCTCCTGTGGTTGCTCATCCACAATCAAGGCCACAGGCTGTTCAATACTCAGTAGCGTCTCGCGTTCGACAGGCACGCCATGACAGGCAACGGCGAAAAGGCAGAGTGCCAAACAGATCGCGGCAGCGCATTTCATTTTTGATCACTTTTCGCAAACACTTTCACACGAAATAAAATTTTGTTGTTTGCCGTTAAAGAGTTATTGGATTTCTAGTTTTCTACAGCAGATGCACGATTATTTTATAGTAGCGAATTTCGCCATGAAAAGTGCTCCAGGTGAAGCCAAACGGTGGTTGTTATTAGCCTCATATGGAATAGTGGAGCGTAATTTGTCTTATCGTTAGATATGTTTTGACGCTTTGTTTTGGGTGAAATTCGTATTTTTTACGTCATTAGTTTTTTTTTTGAACACTTTTCGGCTTAAATGACAAGCTCTTCTCTCAAGTGGCATTAGCCGCAGAAGAGCCATAATAACTCACGTATGAAGTGATTATCAAAAGTGGATGATTGAATCAGCAGAAGCATAAAATCAGACAGAGGGAACCCCCTTAGGTTACTTTTGAGCTGATTACTTTACTTAATTACTTTATTTATATAGCATGTAGTGTTATTGTAAATCTCTTTCACCCAAAAATACATACATACATACATGCAAACAGAAATATATCAAATGAAATTATAGAAACTTTATGGTATAATTTTGTGACAAATAACCCCATATCAAATAAAGGTAGACCCCTTTTGAAAAGAGCGAAAGGAAATAAGAGCCAATGTCTAAGGTTTTTACTGTAAGTATTGGCATAATGGCTAAGACAAACCAGCGTCGTCTCATCGGTTGCTACAACATATGCAGCTGCGTCAATGATGAAGTAAAAATATCTGAGAGCGATAAGGGATTCCTTGAGGAACGGATGTGACGGAAAAAGTAAGTACGCACCGTCTGTATAGACCTAAGATCACAGTAGAGTTTATCGAAACTGACTATTTAAAAAAAAAATATAGAAAATAATTTTAAATAAAGAATGCAGTTAAATTTTCTAATTGCGGTCGCCCCTCGGCAGGGAATGACCATCCTTCCAGGGGTATTTCTGACGTGAAGTAAAGCTCCTTATAAGAACCCACCAGCCGTTCGTAGGCGACTTAGTATAAATGGTAGGTCCCCCGATTTGTTGGGAAAGAGGCACAACCACAAATTGGAGGAGGAGCTCGGCCGAAAATAGCTTCAGCGGTTCCAAAGCGCTAATTATATAGATATAGAAAAGAGGATCGACACCCACCATCTCTTCCTAAGTTTTAAAAAACGTTTGGAAGTTACGTAAACTGACGTTAAGCACCGCCAAAAGCATCATCAGGATCGTGCAGGTCTTCTCCGAGCCGTTCGATACCAATCCAGGCTTTGCATTAATTGCGAGGCGTCTTTTATTTATTGTTTGAGAAAATAATACGCGCTTCAGAGCTGAAAAGAGAAGGCTATGACTCTGGTAGTAAACGAGGCCAAGGCGAAATATTTCCTGTCATCACACAAAGAGTCAACGCATTCGCGGCTCGGCTCCCATGTCACTGTTGACATCTTCGTCCATCTTGGAACCAGTATTAATCCCAACAACAATGCCAGCCTGGAAATACAACGCAGAATCATTCTTGCCAACAGGTGCTACTTTGGACTGAGTAGGCAGTTGAAAAGTAAAGTCCTCTCTCGTCGAACGAAAACTAAACTCAACAAGTCGCTTATCGTTTCCGTCTAGTGATATGGCGCAGACGCGTGGAGAATGGGAACAGCGTAAGATTTGCGGTTATTTCAGAGTTGGTAACGCCGAATACAGCATCCGATCGAAGGATGACCTTTATGAGATATACGACGTAATTGACATACTTCAGTGAACCAAGAAATAGCGGCTACGCTGGCTAGTCACGCAACTGAAACTGTGTATTGTATTTGTAGTCCTGGTATTGTAACAGTCAATCAAGCATGACTTTGGATTCGGAGATTTGAACTCTACGATGGGCAAAGAAGGTATGTATAAACCTTCACAACGAAACATCTCCAAATGGCTTGAGGCTGATCAACTTCGCCGGGCCACAAAATATGGTTGTCTGTAGTACTAGATAGCAGCTCAAGAAAATTCGGCAAGCTATTAGGCTATCCCCGGATATGCTCAAAACTAGATCGATCATGTGGTGATATATGGAAGACATCAATCCTGTGTTTTATAGGTGCGTACGTTCCGAGGTTCTAACATCAATTTGGATCACTACCTTGTCGCAGCAAAAACACGCGCGGGCCTTATCAAAAAACGTCCGTCAACAAACACAATAAAGAAGGTTCGCAACAAACAGCCGTACGGTTTTCTACTTGGCTTGTACGCCTGCTTTCTGAGAGCACTCATCGGCAAAGCTAATGATAGACAAGGGTAATAATCAAAATTTCTACGGAAACATACGGAAACCTTAAGAAAGGTATTAAGGCCGGGGACCAATGCTTGTGGGGCCCATAGAGGTGATCTAGCGAATATACTAAATTTATGGAGTACACACTTTATTAGGCCTGACTAAGCTCTGTTTAACCTGCGAATTGCTGCTGAATCGTAACAAAAACGATTCATTTCTTAAGCGATCATGAAAGATTTGTTTTAGGTTTGGTGGAATTGATGAGGAATCATCCACTGTTAACTCTCAGTTCGAGCGTGCACTACCAGCAATTGGAGGACAACCTTTGGCTTACAGGAGGGAAATTGTACTTGATCAGAACAACGCCAGACCGCACAACTTGATAGTGACTCAGCAGAAGCTCCGAGAGTTTGGTTAGGTGGTTCTTATGCGTCTAAGGAGCTAATTTTAAAATCATCAATTTTCAAAAAAGTACATTTCAGTCGTTTGTTACATATGAGAATTTAAGTAGCGCCCCTCGTTCGAATTATTAGAAAGTAGAAAACTTTGCCTAAGCAATACATATAATGTTAGCTCTTCATAACTTTGATATTTCTTTATATTTATTATGTAGTATTTATTATTTATATAATATAATATATATAAGCACATATTTTTGACATTAACTAATGTCTTAAAATCTCAAATGTGGTAAACTGCACCTGATTCCAGCTTTCACTAAAGTCAAAAATTTGTCTTGAAAATATATGTAATTTGAGCTTTATTACCGCTGCACAGTGGTCGAAATGAGTGATTTAGCGCACACATATATTTGGTTTGTCCGGAAAATAGTAAAATTAGTTGCGTAGAATAAATTTTGTGGCTTGCATTAACGGTTTAAATTTTAGTTTTTGACCTGTTATGTTGTAGCCAAAAAACTTGTCAATGTTTACTGCACCTCGCATAACCTATGACTTCCCGATATCCTTACTTTCAATTTCCACCATTCTCCAGTCCGTCATAAATTTTTAAAATAACTAGAATGTCTTGTGATGGCGAAATGTTAACATTTTGTCATGTTCCTTCATATTTTAATAATTTTCACTTCTCACCTTTCGGGTGTCATGCCAGTACAGAAGCCGGTGTAAGCGGTATGTAAAAGTGAGCGCTTGTGCTGTAAAAGACTTACATAAGTCAGTTGAGAATTATTAATTAATTAATTATTAATTTAATAATATTATTGATGTTAAATTATATAATGAATGACGACCAAGAAAAATTGGTTTTAAGATAGAAGCAGAGCAAATTTATCACCAATAAATTCTAAAAAAAAATTAAAGCTGCTTTGATGAGCCATTCCTCCATTTGTTCAACGGCTACCAACACCAGAGAGATCTGACAAACCGATTTTAGAAAGTTTCACTAAAGTTTCGTTGTTATTGAAATGTGATATGCTCATGGAAACACAACAAGAAGCTTGTACAAAACCTGAAAACATAATTCTTCGGTCGTTGTTTGCTGACTTTCATGATCCAAAAGAAATGTTTCAAGAAATATGCCTTGCAAAGCTTTTTGTCAAAAAAAAAAAAATATCGCTGCATCTATATGCCGTGTTTTCTACATATAATTCTAATGCATGTAGCTGACATTACCAAAGATGCTCCACTTCCAATGGGAAAAATGTCTCAAGAAGCGCTTGGAGCCAGAAATAGGGATTTACGAAGCATTCGACAGCATCTCACCCACTAAACAGCCGAGTAAAATACAATGGAAGACCTTGTTAATGCACTTTTATATTCCTCCAATCCATTCATTCCGCCCTTCCGTTTTGTTCAAGATAATTTAAGTCAAATAATTAACTTTGATGAAAATTTTTTTTAAATTTTTATGTAATGTAGTCGATGAAAATAATTTTTAAACAAAATTTCGAGGTCTTTTTCATGTTGAAATATAAATAATAATACTAAATTATAAGAAATAAATATCAATTTTCAACAAGACAATTATAATTTGAGTTTCTTTATAATAAATAATAAATAATATTTTTCTATAAATGGACTCTATGACTATTCAATACAAAAATAAATAAAAAAGTGCTATTAAAAATAATTTTTCAAATTAAAAACAGTATTTGAAATTAAAAATTTGTTTTGTTAATATTATAGCTCCTTTTATGTACACTAAAATAAATGTAAAATTGCTTTTTTAAAATATTTGTTTGATTGATATGTATTAAACAAGCTAAATCCCTCATTTGCGCCACTGTGCGCTGAAGCGATATTTGGGTGATCTTCTTCTCCCATTTGTGGTGAGCGTCTTGATGTTTTTGCTGCAAACAAACCGCTTCCAAACGGCCGATGGATTTTTAGCAGAAGCATTCTATGTTAGATCATAAATACCTTCTGAGGGCTTAAAACTTCCTATCGAGTAGCAACGGCAATTAGAAGAATAACTATTCTTTCTATTTGGTACGACCAGGGCTCCAAGTCTGTCTTCCAAATTGTGGTACACACTGCTAACCGAATTCAGACGAACTTTCTTTGCCTATTTGTTGTTAAAAAATAGAAGAAAAGTATTTTACTGCTTGCCACCATACCGGCTTGCGATAAAGCTGATGAAAAATATTTAAATATACAATAAATTAAAAATGCATAAATTAACTTCAAATATTTGCTATGCTAATATCTCACTAATCCATAGTTTCGTTGCCTTTGGTATTCAACGTGGCAGAGGACCATAAATCTTCTGCAAAACTTTTCTCTCGAAAGCTCTAAAAGACATAAGGTTGACGCGCAAAAAAAAAAATAAAATAAAATACTTTCATTTTTTTTCATTTCATTTATTATCAAACTACAGTCATGGGCCAATTTATTTGTTATTATTTTATAACTTAACCATAAGTTTTTGCATCTGCTGTGGCAGCTGCGTTGGCAGACGCGTAGCCACCACCTTGACCACCCAGGCCACCACCGTAGCCAATCGGAGCACCGCCACCATATCCCCCTGCGCCACCATAGCCACCCACACCACCATATCCAGCGGGATTTCCATAGCCACCCGCACCGCCATAGCCAGCGGGTACTCCATAGCCACCCACACCACCATAGCCAGCGGGAACGCCATAGCCACCCGCACCGCCATAGCCAGCGGGACCGCCACCTCCACCACCACCGCCGCCACTAAAAGACATTGCATTTGCAGTCGCCGATGCAGTGCTACCGGCACCTCCACCGCCGTATGGATATTGCTGACCGCCATATGGGTATTGCTGGCCGGCGTATGGATATGGTTGACCGCCATGCTGACGACGGTGTCCGTGACGTTTAAGGCGCAATAACGCTACTGTACCCTCTGGGGCTGCATCCAAAGGGTTCACGGTAATCTCATCGATTTGTTGGTATGCTGAGTACGGATAGCAATGCGTCGTGGCTACGTAAGCCAAGATGAAGGCGAATATTAAAATATTCATTGTGTTCGCGTTGTTGTTGTTGCTTTCTCTGATACGTCAATGTTTGAAAAGAAGCAAGTTATATTTTAAAATTTAAGATTCGAATTGAAGCAATTGTACTAAATGTCTAATGCTGTAAAAGCGGCGACACCTAATTATATACCTTACCGTTGCCGAAAAAAAAATTTTTTGCTAGAAAAAGTAATTGTTCAATTTATGTGTCGTTAAATGATTGTACGTTTAGGCAACTGTTTGAAAACTTGTCGAATTTCGAGTTTTTCTAAAATTTTTAATACAATTTTTTATGCTCTCACCAGCGGTCAATACACCTAGTGTGACAGGGCCGGTTTTGGACCATTACTGTAGACAAAAAAATATAAATAAATTTTACTTAAAAACTGAACTCGGTTACAGTGGAGGGTATTGGAAAAGAAGTTACCGCACGTGGTGAAAAATAACAAATAATTGTACGCGATATTGATTAGATCTATGTCACATTAGGTATAATTAAGCCTTCTTAATGTCGCATGAAAGAGTCTATTGAGCGTACTGTATGAAAGACACCACCAACAAACTGATTGGACCTTATTAATGTGGCTTTAGACCTGGACACTGTTGACAGTCAGGTCGTAGATAATTTCGTTTTCGTACAGAGACCGCAGACTAGGTCAAGTGGTCCGAATGACTGAGAATACTCCATTTCTGTATTCGATGCAGTACCCGCCGGTGGAAACAGAGGAAGAGGAAGACCTCCACTCCGTTGTAAGGTCGGCACCGAAGAGCGAATTGGTTTCTCTTGGTATTTCTAACTGGCGACAAACAGCGAAGAGGAGAGCCAAATGGTGTGCAGTTTTTGATTTAGCGTAAGCGTTGCCCACGCCAAAGTAGAAGATGTAGTTATATTTTAAATTTTGTGCAGTGACCAATATAAATTATAACGAAGATGGAAGCCGGAGCCAGTAAATATATTCACACGAAATCATTAAACTAAATATCGCTTGGAATATTCCAGACAGGGCTTATGACCCACACTCTTATATACCCTGTTCTGACTAACCACTTTCTTGGCTTATGGACAAAGTCATAAGTCGTAAAAGGGAATTGCAAAAATAATTGATTTCATTATTATTTTCAATTTTGTTGCTCAAAGAAAATTGTCGTGATTCTACAAATAGGCTGAGAAAGTATACTAAAGGACCTTGTTCTGTTTGATATATTTGTTTTCTGACGCTCACTTTCAGAATAAAAATATTTAAATTTGTTCCACTTGTGAATGTGAACCTGATGCCGAATCTCCTCAATGAGATCCCTGATAAGGGGATTTCCGGGGTCAAAGTGATTATAGGAGACACATCTAGATCCTAAAATCGCTGCTCTGTACGAGAAATTATGTTGTATTTCCACGATTCGGCCTGCCTTGCAGAAATAGACTGCTTACGGAAACAAAATCGGAGGTCTGTAAATCGAAACTATCGTGAGATACTGGCGTCAGTACCGACCGCCCTTTATTAGACCAGCACTCGCAAATCTTAACTCTGCTGAGCTCAGGCAATTACCCACAATTCTTGTAAAGGTGTTGTCGTTCATGGTACGGAATGTCGAATTATCTATCTGCTCTGCCATCTCCATCCCACAACGGTAATTTGACAGGCTTGAATGGGTGAGATGGTGGTGCGTATTAAAAACCAAAACCAAAAACAAACGGGTTTCACATCGGAGCAACGGACATATATTTGTACGGCAACCTGCAACTGGAAGGGTGCACATACTAAGTCCTTGGTAATGATGTTGAATCCTGCCCGGCTCAGAATTTTGTCTTCTGAGTCGCAGTTATTGGTTTTCTCGGCTAGTAAAGTTGGCTTTCTCGTCGATCTTTCTCTGCAGACCGTTGCAATTTAATTCTAGCCGTCTGGTTTGTTTTGTTGATTGAGTGCCGCACGTTGGTATTCATCCATTCAATTGGCCGTTGTTTGGCAGGTCAGAGCACAACCGACCATGACGCCGACGACCAGACAGTTCAGGGCATTAAGAGCTGATGAATAGGCAACCCACCCCACGTGGCGAAGAAGTGAAGCTGGGAATAGATTTTTGCGGATTCATGCTGGGAGTAGTTCTCTGAGGCCGTAGAGTTCTAGAGCTGATCAATCAGAGTAGGTAGAGGTGCGGAAGGTACTGCAGCAAAGGCTTTGGTCGCAGTTGTGCGCTGACAGCCTGGAGTTACGTAACACGTAGACTACTTGCTATGTGTCTTAAGGCCTGAACAGGACAAAATATGACATAAACCATTAAGCTGGGTGCATCTAATCGTAATGGAAGAATAGTGAAGTTGCTTATGGTAAAAGTAATTAGTCGGACCACGCTTAAGTTGGACGTTAGCACTGATGAGATAAATTTGGCGCAGTGCTACTACGAGGTGTTACTCAGTCGATGCACTTCACTACACGTCGTAAAAGCCTTTTGGCCGGATAAAAATCAGGTTAACTCCGGTGCGTAGAATCGGCCATAATTAAAGTTAGATAAATGCCATTTGTGACAAATATATATCGTTTTATTCGATAACTTTTCGCCATTTTGAAAGTTATTTTGCTACGCCTCTCTCCTAGAAAACCTTTCCACCATTGGCAAATAATTGGGATAATCGATTTTCACAGGCCACTCTTGAGGTCAACTCTTCACCAGCCAAGTTATTTCTAATATGGATAGTGCTCACTTGGTGCAAGGTCCAGACAATATGATCCCAGCCTATAATAAACCAGGCAAGCTCTCGGAGCTTCTGGCAAGTAACTATCGATGTGTGTGGCCTGGTGTTGCTCTGACGAAACACTCATCCCGCTCTGTTGGTTAAGCTGAGCTCTTCCGTGGTTTTGATTTCTTCAGTCAGTCTAAATGCTGCCGGTACACGTCCGAATTTAAAGTTTGGCGGTAGGCAAGCAACACCAAACACACAACAAATCATGGCTTGGACTCCGTTTGTACCTGTTCGCTGTCCTTTGACCACGACAATTTTCGTTTATCTTTACTGTTAGAGATCCACTTTTAGCATTAGTTCATCCGCTTCAAAAATGGGTCGAAGATAAAAATTCTATTTGTGAGATTTTTTCTCATTAACTCATGCGGCACTCATAAATCGAGCTTCTCTGTCTATCCAGCCTTTTTATAGAGATTCTAAACAGTCATTTGAGCAATGTTTAGCTCCTGGGCAATCAAAGCGGTGTTTGCGAGATGGTCAGACTCCACGATTACCTTTATTCTTTCGACATTTTCGACAATTGTCCTTCCAAATTGTGGATCATCTTTTAGAATATAACGCATTTTCTATTTGCTCGTGGCCATATTTGACAAAATATCACCTTTCTGCTGCCATCTAGGGTAATTCAATCTCACTTATAGAATACTAACTTCAGATCGCTAAATTTATCCATTGCAAAAATAGTTACTTTATACTAGACCTAACATTGGAAACCAAACTAAAGACTTAAGACACAAACTTCCTCAATATTCTTTGTGTTACTAAGGAAAACTTTTCACTTTTTATAAAAATTCAATCGGTTGATATTAAACCAAACAAATAAGGATTCACAAACGGACACAATTTTATTTTCCATTTTAAATCATTACACAATTCGACAGTCATGATTGGCACTCGTTTTGTGTTGTACACTACACATTAAATCACCAGCTTCAACTCATAATATTGTTTTTTAACTTTAACTTAATTTAATTATATTAATTAGCTTTAAAAGTACTTTCGCACACCAGTGCAGTTCGATTAACCATAGAAACCACCACCGTATGAGCCAGCACTGGCAGAGGCACTACTGTAGGAACCGCCAAAACCACCACCGTAAGCTGGGAAGCCACCATAGCCACCAAATCCGCCTGGATAGCCACCATAGCCGCCGCCAAAACCGCCATACGGATAGCCACCATAACCACCATAGCCGGGATAGCCACCGCCAAAACCACCGAAGTGACGTGCCACTCTTCTAAGTTGCTTTGGTTGCGCTTCCACGGCGACAGACGCTGGTTGTGCCTCCTCAATGCTCAGCAGCGTTTCACGTTCCACTGGCACACTATGACAAACAGCGGCGAATAGACAAAGGGCCAAGCAAATTTTGACTAAGAATTTCATTTTGAATTTATTTGTTTGAGAGCAGAATGAAATATTATGCGAACTCCAAGCTTATTCTTAACTAAAACAAAGTCACTCGATATCTGTTTATGCCAAGCTGTTTTGCATTTGGTTTTATAGTTGAGAATTTGTATAAAGTTCTCGAACGAAGTAATCATTGATGCGTGGTACCCGTTTCCATTTTGTTTGTGTATGTTTGTATGTTATCCATCACTTGCCGGTGCTGGCTTGAGATTTTCGACAATGCTGGGTGATTTTTAAATTTTATTAACACATTCTTTTGGGTTTTTTGTTTTGGCAAAATTTACTGGTTTTTATCGCAAACACTTTTCTCAAGTGACGGCGGCTGAGGAGTGGCGCGTAATTATTCGAGAATGATTCAAGCTATATGTATGTATGTATGTTTATTCAATAAATTGTGGTTTTTACCTGTGTAGCTACTCTCGAGTTCATTCATTTTCATATTTACTGAAAACAAATTTCTACATTATTCTAAAGTTATCAATTTAAAATTCAAAATAAAGCAAAAATTCAAATTATTTTTATTCCTAAAATTTCCCCAGATGAAGTTTAATGAACGCCTGTCCAAAGTCCATTAACTAAGCATTAAATACCTCAATGAAATTCTATGTACAACTAGAGCAGATTGATAAAAATTGAATTGAATTGAATTATTTTCCATTTCAATAATTTTGTAAGTAAAGCTGAATTATATATGAAAATTATTTTCCTAATTCTATTAACTACTTAAAAGAGTTACTTTTTAACTTCTCTTCTTCACGATTTTAAAGTTTCTTTCTCCGTCCTATTGCTGCTTAAATTTGATTTAAGGAACTTAATTTTTTTCTGGAAATAATAAAATTTGTAATTTAATGCATGTGATAGAAAAATAATTGTAAACTTATATTGAATTTTTAACGGTTTTCAAATATATCTTACGCTTACACTTTATTTGATCCTCGAGTATCTAAACTTGGGAAAATCATTCAATTTTTTTTTTTCTCAGCCAAGACATGGATTGCATATACAGTTCATCCAGCTTAAATTTGTGTTTCAAAACCGTAGTTTGAGTAGCTGAGAACCAATTGATCCATAATGGTTGATAACTTAAAGTAAAGAACTGCATCAAAAAATTAAAGACGCCTCGTGAAGCCTGAATAAATGTTTCTGATAAACCCTAAAAATGTGTAATGTGTGTGTTTTGAGTCAGGGTTTGTAGTTCGCGGAAGTCAAATACATTTTTTTTTGTTTTTGTTGCTAAGGAAGTAGAAATTCAATATGCATCAATAGTAATTAGGATTTAACAAGATACTCGTAGATAGATCTATCAATAGGCAGGATATGCGACCAGTGGCCTTATAATACCTAACAGGCTAGAAGAGTTGATTGATTTGATGTAACTTTGTTCCCGCACGACAGCTTTGCATTGAAACAGTAGCTCACAGAAGTGATAAGTCTCATACTCATTTCTTCCCTTCATTTCTCTTTTTTTATCGAGTGAGAACCAAAATGGAAGATAGGCTCTGGTCCCGTAGTAGGCGAAATAGGGGTCAGTGCAAGTGTAAATGCTATTTCATTTTTGGAAATCAGATGAGCTGAATTTTGTTTGTTCGCCCACTCTTTTAAAATTCTAGATACATTCCCATGCCATATACTACTTAATCCTGACTTGAATAATTAATTTTATTAATTTAACTCACCTTGTTGCCACAAGAACTAATATTTCATCAATAAATTTGTGGACAGTTCAGAAACAAAGATTTAATGAAAATTTTTTGGTATAAAGAAAATGTATAAATACATGCACATGTATATATATTTTTACATAAGAAATAGAATAGGTGGCAGCACTTGTTGAAAAGATCTGCACTAACTAATGCAATCAACATGTTTAGGTTACGAAAGATAATCTGCTGAAGAACAGAACCTTGTTTCACAATGAAAACAAACCCAATGTTACTCTCTTTCCGCTTAACCCAGAAAGTTTAGGCAACAAGAATTTTTCTCTCACATTCTATATCCCACTGATATGTTTTTCAGCAGTTCACAATTTATGCCTTGCAACGAGAGCAATATTCAGCATCACATTTTAAATAACTGTATAAAATAATATTTCTTCGTAGCGATTATTTTCTTTATTAATGTAAGTTTTTAATTTCAATCACATGATTTTTTCCGCGTCTTATTATTATTTAGATGTTCAACGACCGTATGAGCCAAATGAACTGGCTGAAGCTTGAGCGGAACTTTGACTGTAACTGCCGCCACCACCATAACCACCAGGATAACCGCCACCACCCCCACCACCGTAACCACCAGGATAACCACCACCATAACCGCCGCGGCCGCCACCTCCAAAGCCACCGTAACCACCACGGCCGCCGCCGCCAAATCCGCCATAACCACCACGACCGCCACCACAACAACCGCCACCGAAACCACGCGCTTCACGTTGATGACCGCCATTCACATCAAACACAAGCGGTGTATTTACTGTATCCAAAGTTTCTTGCTGCTCACTCATTTCAGTGCCTGGGTTGGGATACGAGTAGGCCAAGGCGCATAAGGCCAAGAGAACTGCAATGAACAGTTTCATTTCTCGAATTTGGAATAAACTGTTATTTTTGGAAATAAATTTGGTTATAAACGAAGTGAATGCAAAATACTTTTGAGTCTTCTAAGCTGTGAACCATTGTATTTATACTCGTCTCCTATGAACTATTTGTACATTCTATCCCTTGGGAAAGTAATTAATCATTTCAACAAAAAATTAAGAAAAACATAATAATAAAAATTAGTTGGTTTATAAAAAAGTGTAATTGTTTTCAAGTGTTTATGTACAAAAAATACATGTGTTTTTAAATAAATATATATATGAAGGCAAAAACTTCTGGAAGACCCCTGGAGTGGTTAAAAATCCCCGAAAGACAGCCAGCAAAATAGAAATTTCATATGAGAAAAAAATTAATTAAAAAATTATAACTCAACTCTTTAACAAATTTCGCAAATTCATCATAGATTTTGCAAGGCAATGCTTCAATACGGCAAGTGCTTGTACATATATAAACATACGAGTATGTACTGGAATGAAAATATAAACGCAAACACAAATGTGGCGGGGCGTAAGATATAATAATCCCCAGGCAACTTTCAATAATTTTTTATTAGTTTTATAATTATAAACAAAAACAATTATTTAAATCCATTGGAAATTAAGAATATTTTTGATGATTACTATTGACTTTTGTTTAGCATTATTAATTGTTTACTAAAGCATTGCCACCGTACATTCACCCAGACATTATGAATATCAACCGACGTCTAAAAAATCACGGTATCTTTCCATCTTTCCAGTTCAGACAGAAATCGTTAAAAGTAATAATTTTTTTCAAGAACTCCCCTTTTCAGTTAACCTTTCGATAGCCACTCAGATGATGATTCCACTGTTAATATATTTAAATATATATACATATGTATGTAAAAATATAAATGTTTTAATATTGTTTGCTTGTTATCGAGCTGTGAAAGACTTTTTAGATAAGTAGCTATTTATGTATATGTCTAAGAATCTTTGTTTATTTTTATTTACTCTCTAATATTGGGGAATCACCTTGAATAGAAATCTTTAAAACGAAATTCCAGTTTTTGCATATATTCGACGTATTTGGTGTTTAACACTTATTAACGAGTATATATGTATATACGAATATAAATTTTGAATTTGTATTTTTCAAGTTTATTTGTACTTAACGCTTGTTACTGCTTTAGCAGCTTTCGGCCGAGTTTCTCCTTCAATTAATGGTAAGTGTCTCGTTTTATTCAACAAACGGAGGGACCTACAGTATATTCATGTCAGTAGTATGTTTAGAGGGCTCAACATTCTCTGACGAACCAGTAATCGAACACTGGGCTTTCAAATGTCAACACACTTTACTCACTACTGGGCTGTAGGGGCCGTCTTTCAAATTTTTATAGTCCAGTTTATTTCATTTAATGTAGTTCAGAAGTTTTTAATATAATATATATTATTTTGTTATATTTTGTCTATACTTAATTATTTATATTATTTATTTGATTTTAATTACAAATATTATTTTTTTATTTAATTTAAATTAATTTTACTTTATTTCATTTACTTTATTTGATTTGATTATACTATACATTATTTTAATTTTATTTAATAAATTTTATTTAGCATTACTTATATTTTATTATATTTTATTTACTTGGTTTTATATTTAATTTATATTCTTTATTTTATATAGTTTTAATAATTTTTTTTAAATATTTTTTTTTTATTTAAACTATTTTATTCCGATTAGAATTAATATTTATTTTCCTTTACCATACAATATATATTTTTTATATATTTTGATTTCTTTTATTTTATTTATTTTATTTTGTTTTATTTCCTTTCATTGAATTTTACAAAATTAATAAAAAAAATTAATGAAATGATATGAAATAAAACAAAATGAATTTTATTTTATTTGATTTTGTTTCATGTTATTTTGTTTCATATCATTTTATAAATTTTTTTTTATTTTATTTCATTTCGTTGTAAAATAATTTAGTTTATTATTAAATATTTTATCTTATTTTATATTATTTATTTTTTTATTTTATTTTTTTCTTCTAGTTTATATTATATTATTTTCTTTCATTTCATTATAATTTATTTTATTTTATCTTATTTGATTTTATTTGATTGTATCTTATTTTATTTTATTCGTTTATTTTCTTTTATTTTTTTATACTTGATTTAATTTAATTTATTATTATTTTAATATTATTTTTTTATTTTATTTTTTTTTTTTATTTTAATATTTTTGATTATATTACTTAAATATTTTTAATCTATTTTATCTTCATTTATATTATTTTACTTCATTATATTATATTTTATCAATTATATTTTATATTCTTCATTTTAAATAATTTTATTTTTGATTTGAATTATAATATGTTATTTTGTTTTATTTTACTTTATCCGACTCTGTTTTATTTTTCTTAGTTATATTTTATATTTTTTCAATTATTATTTTTTTTTGTATAATATAAATTATTATATTGTATTATTTTACCTTATTAGATTATATTTAATTTATTTAATTTTTATTTTACATTAAATTATTAATTTTTATTTTCTTTATTTAATTTAACTTTTTTTGTACTTAATTTATTGAATTTTCTTATTATTTATTTGATTTTATTTCCTTTGTAATTTGTTTGAGCTTTTTTCTGTATTTTTAAAATTGTTTTTCTTTCTTTTTTATATAGCTTTATTTGGTCGAATTATATTTTATTTTATTTTGTATTCCTTTAATTTATAAACTTTTACCTATGTATTTAGATTTAGCTATTTGCCAATTTATTTTATATGTATGTTTTTCGTTTTATTTTTTTTTCTTTTATATTTTTCACCGTTATATTTTATTCCTTCCCTTTTCATCTGCGTAATTAAAAAAAATATTCACATTGTTTGAATTTTTTTGAACAGTTTTAGCGAGGAAAAATTAGAGCCACCTTATTAAGATTCATAACTAATCAATATGTATTGAGCAGCTATTATTTGAAAGTAATTATACCAGCACACAAATTTTCGCCGGCATGTTTTGAACCTGTTTTTTATACCACGCATATTCGTAAACAAAATAAATGTTGAGGAAAACAACACGAAAAAAATAACTACAGAAAATAAATAAACAACTGTATTGTTCAGAGGATTAGCATTTTTTTCGCAAGCTGAGCAAAAGCATAAATCACATTTAATTTCTTTTGGTATACAGTCCGGTTTTCAAACAAATTTTGGCAATGTTTGTACACTCGTATATGAACATTGTATATACACAAATGGGACTGGATCTTTGTTAATATTCAAGCACCCGTTTTACATTTGTTACCTCAAATTGGGGGAATTTAGATTTATTGATAATGAAAGTGCAGCTCCATACTCAACGACAGACAGCAGGTTTTCCATCTCATTCAAATCAATAGAACCACCATTAAAGGAATCAATCCAAAGTCTTTGCATAATTAAGCTAGAAATTGAGCTGCCAATAAGAGTCAAGCTCGAATTTCTATGTAGAGTAAAATCACATAACATTATCCCCTATATTTTATTGACGTTTTTTATGCCTTTATAATTTGTAATTTCTATTAAATTTCTAAATCATATTGTGGTATTTAAAAGTTCGCTTTTGTTTCTATTAAATGCGCGATTAATTAAGCAAATATTTCATTGAGCTGTAAAACAAGATTTTTGATATATCTTTTTACAAGTTGCTTTGTTATTCATACTTACATATGTTCATCGACATGTGTAAGTCAAGTTTTCTTTTATTACGAATTATAAAGAGCTAGCAACTAGGCCATCAACTTCACATATTATAATTAAAAACATAACATTAAATTTCAAAGTGTAGGGATATTGATTTCGTGGCCCTGTGCCCGGCTGTATTTTGACAGATGTAAAACAGGTTTTGTTTTAGTTCGATATCAATGATTCATGATATTTATGTGATAAAAACAAATATTGTTGTTGTTTATGATTTTGCTTGATGATAAAGTGGAAGGCGAGTCACTAAAGAAAGCCAGCGTCTATGCAGGCAAGATCGAGTTGCTGAATGAATGAAAGCAATTTTGGTTTAAAATTAGTGGACAAAGAGAAAAACCTCCACTTCTTAAAATTAGCAGTTAGAGAGCGACTACATTTCACTTGTAGAGAAGAAAAAAGCCGAATTAGCTGAACGGTTAGCAGAAAGTTTTACCAACACTTGAAGAATTGTTGCCAATTGTTATTGGCCAACAGCTCACCGAACAGAATTATTGCAAGAAAAAAGTTGAATTCTCACACCTCGAAACGCAGCTACTTTAGTTTAATAAATATAAAACTACTATAATATTTTTAAAATAGATAATTTTGAGTTTTAAATCAGTTAATAAAGCTTTTGAGAGTGTAAATTTTAATTACCCTTTATAAAATAAATGATATAACATAGAATTAGTGGTTAAACAAAAATTTGTTATGTCAAGATGTAAAAGCCTTTTTATGACCAAAGTCAGCTCTTCTCTTTTGTTTACTACTTTTCCCAAACCCATATTTATAAACAAATCAACTCAGTATTTTGTATATTAAAAGTGCTCGTATATTATTAGCGCGTATTTTCGATTGTCATTTTGTGTGGTTTCCTTTCATTGATATCATTCTTCTCATAAAGAATAGTTTACACAGTCTCTTAATAGTCTTTTGTTAACATTTTTGCGGTTTTGAAAGCTCAGTTAATAGGGAGATGATGAGTGGTTATTTTACGTTTAATTTATTTTGTGTTGTTTTTGTCTCTTGTGCTTTCAATAATAGCGGCCTCATATTATGTCTTGGGGTTTTCCATTTGCGGTAGAATATTTTTTTTATTTACCATGATTATGTATTTGTGCTTCCTCATGGTAATTCAAATTATAAGCCGTTTTATTAAACTAGATTTTTTTAAATAGAATAGAAAATAATTTCTAGTGTTTTGAATTTTTTTTTTTTGAAAACTCGGAAGATCGATACGAATCTTATTTCTCAATTAGCGGCTTTCAAGGAAAAAAAATTTGCGTAGATTGTAAGAGTGATTGATGTAAAAGATGTCCCACCGTGTGAAAGGTCAATTGTCGAACATGTCGACAGAGCACTAGAGGTCGCCTAGTCAGACGGCCATACCAGTACTGTTGATTACACCGGAGTTAGACATTGTAAAAAAATAGTTTGAAACCACTTGAGAGAATCTGGTTACACAAAGACAAGAGATGTATGTGGCCACAAGATTTATCCGAAAAATACCTCATGGACTGAGATTCCATCTGCAAATTGATGATAGATCGACCGATATCTTAAACGGATGGTAATTGGTGACGAAAAGTCGATCATTTGAAGCAACATAAAGCCATGATTAACAGCCACGAAGGGTTCGTAGTGCGTTTGATGGGATTAGTAAGAAATTATATACTGCGAGCAGCTCTCTACCGCCAAACCTTCCAATGCGTATTTATATTGTCAGCAATCGGAACGTCTGCGGGAAGCAATCACTTGGAAGCGTCCAGCTTTGGCCAATAATAATGGAATTGTTTTTTAACGAAACAATTCCAGATCACACACACATCGGTAGTAACTCGCCGGAAGATCCCAGAGTTTGGTTAGGAGTTTCTTATGCATCTACCTTATAGTCCGGACCTGGCACCAAGTGTTTGCCAACTCTTTGTGTCTATGGCGAATGATTTGGCGGGAGAATAATTGACCTCAAAAGAAGCCTTTGAATGCCGATTGTTCTAATTTTATGCCATTAAGAGCAAAGGTCCGCCAGGATCGGGAAGAACCTCTCCAAGTCGCTCGATACCAAACGTACGCCTATGATATGGACATTATTGTCCTCAACAACCTCGTCGTGGGTTCTGCTTTCCCCAGGCTGGATATGGAAACGAAGGATATATCTTCTGTCATCAAACAAACAATCATCGCATTCGCGACTCGGCTCCCACGACACTGTTGACGATCATAACTTTGAAGTCGTAGATAACTTCGGACTGAGTACTCAAGTGAAAAGTAAAATTCCCTCTCGTCTCTATAAGTCGCTTATCGTTCCCGTCCTGCTATATGGTGCGGAGGTATGGACGATGACAGCATCTGAAGAGCCGGCGTTAGAAATTTTCGAGAGAAAAGTTTTGCCTAAGATTTACGGCTCTCTACGAGTTGGCAGCCAATACAGTGATGGGTTGTACAAGTTATATGGCAACATTGACATGGTTCAGCGAATCAAGGAACAGAGGCTTCGCTGACTAGGAAACGTGGTTCGGAAGCAGAGGAAGATAGAAAGACCAGGTAGAGAAGGGCCTAGCTGTACTTGGTATTTCCCATTGTCGTCAGATAATGAAGGGAAGGTATGAATGGCACGCTGTTGATAAATCGGCAGTACTCGGGAAAGTAAGCAAGTTTAATACAATAATAAAAGTAATAAAAGTCTACTTCGACAAGATGACTTCAGACGGGATAGGCTTTTGTTTAAACATTGATATTACAAGTTTATAAAACAAATTTCAAAGGCGGGTTCTTGTTTTCGTTGTTTTTAATCATATTAATGTGACTAAGATCCATTCGCTTCATACTTGATTTGTTGCGAATATTTTCTGTATGTACATATATTAGCAAGCCATAAATACGTGAAGCATATACATACATCATATCCCTAATATATGTTTAGATGAGTAATCATGAGAATTCCCAATCATTTTTATGCAAAGACAAATGTTTATATTTACCCACTTGTGTGTGTTTAATAACCCGTAAAGCCACTTATCAACTTTTTCAAAAATTTAATCGAATAATCCCTCACATTTATCTAACAGTATGAAATTAATTAAACAGATAATTTTAATATTGCTAATTAATTAAAAAAAAATCGTTAGCACATGCGCAGCAAACCAAAAATTTAAACATTTTTCAGCCGAATTATCTGGGGTCAACAACCGCGCCAAGAGCGATGAAAATAAAATATAATGGAAATAGACAGCATAAATGTAAATACCAAAGTAGTAAAACTTGGAGATTTATTTCTTTTCTTACAAAAAAAAAAAAAAAAAAAACACAACAAAATTTTGCAAAAATCTACGACCACGCGCATTTTGCAAATTTAGCAAACCACGGAAGTGAATAGAGAATTAAAAACCACAAAATAAACACAAACACTGAATATTTGTTAATTTAAAACTGTAGTAAATCGAAATGAGAAGAAACTTTTAGTCAACAACTAACAGTATATACTGTTTTGTTGTTTTGCCTCGTTGTTTTGGCAATGTCAATGTCAGTGGCAACAGCGAAGATACGCTGGCTGGCTCTGTGTTGTTGCGCGAACGCGTTAGTGTAATTTGGAAAATGATTGTATGTGTTGTCTACACTAACGAGAAAAATAATAGTATACTTCGTAACTTAACTTCTAATTGTTATTGTCTTGAAAATGTGTTATCTACTGAAAGCGTGAGATCCTTGTTTATTAAAATTAACTCATTGAATGTAGAACAAATGTAACAATAGTTTTTTTTCATCATTCTGAAGCCTGAGCCATATTTCAAAATGTATCTAACAAGTGAGGTGAAGAGTAATTCGGTAAGGAACTTCTTAGTCCAACGTTTAATGGAAGTTAAAACTCCGTTTGCCTTATTAGCCGAGGCATTTATATGATTTCTAAAATCTAGCTTAGGGTTCATTGTGATACCTAAATCAATGAAGTCTGTGATTGTGATTATGTTTCGTATAGGCAAAGGATTGGAAAGATTTTCTGGAGAAAACGAATATTTACATTTATTTAAAGTTAGGGACATTCAGAGCGCCTCGCACCACCTACAAAATTATTTAGGTCAATTTGAAAAAGCTCTCTGTCTTCAGAGCTTGACACCATCTGCGTACATGAGTATTTTTGAGTGAAGAACCACATTTGGAAGATCATTGATGAAGGAAGAGTAAAGCGCCGAGTTGACTGCTTTGAGGAAGACCAGATCTTACTGTTCTCCACGTGATGTATAATATACTTTTTGTTTTATATTAATAAAGAACGATGAAATCCACTTGAGTACGGAAAGTGGAAACCCGAAATGATCGTTTTTGAAGGGAAGTAAAGAATAAGAGACCTTTGCTAAATGCTTTTCTGAAGTCAGTGTAGATAACAACTGTTCGATTACCATTTTCGAAATCATTACTGACATGCGCGGGCCATTCTAGCAGGTTCGATAGGGTAGACTTACTCTTACAAAATCCATGTTGTGAGATGTCATTAATTGATGACACATAATGGGCTAATTAATCAGCTATAACAGCTTCGAGGATAGAATACAGCTGTGCTATTTCTGTAATTCCCTATTGAAGATCTACTACCACATTTATGTTGAGGTGAAATATATGACCCTTTCCACAAAGAAGATAATAAATTTTGATTTAATTACCATCGGCCATGCAAATGAAATGGTCTGGCGTTTCGGGAATATGCAACAAACAACTGTGCATGTGCTAAACAACTCGTACCTTGGAGATTTCTTGCTAGTTATTGCAAATACTAGTCGAAAAGGAAAATGTAGTCGCTCGAAGGAGGATTTCTTGTCTTCACTTTTGAGAAATTCGGTAAAAATTGTTGATTCTATTACGTTCTTCTTTAATTTACTAACCTCAGCTTGTGTATCGCTATATACTTTTGGCTGATCGCTAAAGGGATGAAGAGGTATTATTTTAAATAAACTGTTGTTGCGGTATTTTTAAACTGCAATTTTATTGTATGAGTTAGTTCCGGTTCCGCAAAATGGCTTTAGAAAGATGACATCTCGTACTAAAAAGGTTTTTCTTTGAGTGTGCGTCAAAGATGTACACCAGTTTCTCTTCGACAAGCGCGAAGGCACAAACGAGGCGGCTAAAAATGAGGATAGCGTTAATGGCTCTGCTACTTTTACAGTCAATTATGTGCAATTATGATCTCATTTCGGTAATTTTGTTGTAAAAGTTGCTTCACGGACAGGATGGGCAATTGTCGAAAATGTCTATAAAATCTTGGAAATTGTCGAGTCCGACAGTCACTGTTTCGATTGACCAAGAGCCAAAGATTGAACAAGGCTGAATACGAAAAATAAAATTAAAGCCTTCAATTTCATGCAAAAAAAAGGATTTCTTTTTACTAAACCTAATATTAAAATATTAAACAGACTTTCTACATTTCTCTTTTGGAGAATTTAAGGTGCGTCCGAAGCGTGTTGAGAATTTTAAACTAAATTTACATTCTGCTCATTGTATTTTTTTTTGCTCACAACACTGTAATTGTGAATTGTGAACTGTAAACATTTCAGCACTCATATACTCGTACACACGTATAATATCTGACTTTGCTTTTGAATTTATCTCAATGGCGCGCGGGTCTCATCTGCCGGCGTTTAAACCTGTTGATGACGTAGTTGTCATCTAACTGCTGTTGCTCGAGTGGTGACCATCCGCAGACGGTGGCTGAATGCCTTTTGCGTAGTCTTCTTATATCGCGATTTATTCTCATTCTTTTACTGTTAATATTTGGCATTGTTATTATTGCTTTTTTTATTTTTATTTTTTGTTTTTTAAAAAAATATTATTCAAACAGCGTGAAGGCCTGCAACTTGCAATTATGGAAATTTCTCATACAAAAAGCCAAACTAAATTTTGACTACAAATATTTATAGTTTCATTTATATAGTATTTTGGATTATTCTTAGTTAGTTTTTAGGAAAAAAATGTTAAAAAATACTAGTGCAGCAACGCTCTCGGTATTAGTAGTACGAAAACCAGCGCGGCATAAGGCTCGAAAAAAATCTGCGCGTCAATTCGAAAACTGTACAAAATCAACGAGAGAAAATATATAAATATAGATAAAAAAATAACAAAAAAAAATTCCTTTAAAAATATTGAGTGTCTAAAATAGAAAGTTAAAATTTTGTGAAATAAAAAGTTTTTTATTCAAAAAGTGTACCTCTGTACTTACTGTAAAATGCGTATTTCTTGCAAAGCCTACGTGATGGCTTTCTTCTTTACGCTTGCCTCATGCCAGTCTACGCGCCAAAGTGACTCACGCAGCGGAAATCGCTATCGCAACAGAGCAAGCAGTGACCTTCCTCAAGGCAGAACATTAGGCTTAATCAGGCCATTGCTGGGCGGTATACGTCCCATCGCCAGCGCTATTGGTTTTGATCCCATACGCCCTGGTGGTAGTTTAGGTGGAGGCGGCCTACAATCAGACCCAATCTATGGTGGTGGTTATCCTGGCTATGGTGGATATGGCGGTTATGCTGGTTATCCCTATTATGGCGGCTATGCTGGCTTATTTTCCGGCTACAGACCATATGCTTACCGTCCCCGGCCATATTATCCCATATACGGTGGATATAATCCATATGGCGGTTATAATCCTTATGGCGGCTATCAGCGTCCAAGCTCATATGGCTCATATGGCGGTGGTGGTAGTGGGTTGAGTAATGTAAATTCATCTCCAGCCTCTTCCAGCACTGGTACAACTGGTGGATTAGGCGCATTACTAGGTGGTGGTGGCGGTGGTGCAAATGGCGCTTCAACAGCGTCGCAGGCGCAACTCGCCAATCAGCTGGGACAGGCTTTGGGTGCTAGTTTACGCCCTTTGCTGGCAGGTGGCGGTGGAGGTGCTGGCGGTGCTGGTGGTTTAGCAAGTTTGTTGAGTCAGTTAGGCTAAGAGTTGGTTTTTATATATAGTCTTAAGTATATATGTAAGTAATTTTAATTTAAGGTTTGAATTTGTTTTTTAGTATTATGTTAAAAATGTTAATAATAAATGAATGTTATTGTTGTAGATTATATTGAATTTTTTTGTTTGTTTTTTTATGCCTAAAGTGTGCTAAGTGGAGTGTATTCCACGAAAACAAGAAAATATTCGGAAACATAAAGTCATTTTCATATCACGAGATTTCAAAGTACGCTGAGCTCATTGGACCTACTATCTCTCCTAGGCTGGTTCTTAAGAATAATTCGATCACTAGACACCTTTGTAATATGTATCGCAGTGACCGAAGAACCGTACGCAGATTCAATGAAAGTTATATAAACACCTTTCACTGGTGATGCAACAACAGTTCCCAGTCAAGCTCTCTCAGTTTTTGGCGAGTGATCAAGGATGTGTACAGTCTAGCTTTGCCCTGTGGAAAATGACACCTTTACGATAGTCCAATTCTGGCCGCATCTCGTAAAGGAATGTATTCAATTGATACTGATTTAATACCTATTTTAATATTTGTATATTGATTAGTCACTTGTGCATATAACCAATTCCATCTTACCTGGATCATCTAAGAAGTTGGTGAAGATGCTCAATAGCAGGCAATGGCGATTGATGCCCTTTCAGATTTTTCCGTATTGGTCCATGTTCATGTGCTATATTTTGTCCTTCTTCAGCATTCCTTCCTACAAAAGACACAGGGGTCAGGGCTTCTACCACAAGAAAACCGTCGTTTTCGTCGTCATTTGATATGCTTGACACTTCCTCATGCGTCGGTACTGACTCAAATAAATTGAACAGTTGCTCATCACTCAAGTCCGACGACTTGTCGCACATCCGTTGTGTTCTTTTGATAGAGCTCTAAAATTTAGATTATATTGCTAACATATTGTTTATGATTAGTTGTACATAACAGCTTTCATAGTATTTTGCTAGCTCAGGCGATGGGTCGCCTAAAAGTATGTAAGAAATTTGTTTAACAAGGCCAATTCCAACAGTCAAGCATCGATACAACGAAGTTAAAATTAACAAATCTGCAAAAGCGGTTAAAACTGACTGCTAAACAGTTTGAAGAACAGTTTTTTGCATAATAGGTGAGTGAATACAAGATACAATCTTACCGGCGGCATTAATAATATATATATTTAAATGAATCTTATTTATTTACAATAAATTGTATTTTATGCTAAGCATTTTTTCATTAAATGTAAATATCAGAAAAATACAGTTATATTTTATAACGTTTCTTGAGCTAAAATAAAAGTCTCTTAAAAGATACAAAAAGTATTGGTCCCTCAATGAGCTTCAGGCTTTTAAACTTTTGCTATTTTTTAGGCTTTAAATAATTTAGGTGGATATTCTCATTCACTATTTGAAATATACGAACCCTCAAAGGCTTGAAAATTTTTTTTTACAAAAAAATTGAAAATATTTTGAGTTTAAGAAACAGTTTGAATTAAAAAATGTTGGGATTATCTTGCTAGTTTTACACAATTTTTTTTTCTTTTGAGGTTTATGTCAGATTTGAAGGTGTGTTTAAAATATTATATACATAAACAAATTCTTTATTTTTGGAAAAGCAGTGGTTTTCATAAAAGTTTTTTCATTCACTAATTCATATTTACTGATTAACATACTTTATACGAAATTATCAGTTGAAGCTTCATCATATACTGGAAACCTCTTAAGAAATTTAGTATTGGCTTTGCAATCACTGCAGTGATTTTCGGTTTCGCTCCTCCAACAATTTATGGTATGCGTCTTGATTTTCTTCCGACAAATGGTGGAATCGACAGTTTATTCCAAGCCGCCTTCGAACGGCTGATCGATTTATGTGAGGAGCTTTTATTTCGTGTCAGAAATACACTCGTTTGTTTTAAGTTAATTTTTAGCTGCCACAACAGAGTAAATTATTTATGATCTGCCGAAGAAGTCGACGCACTTACGTCTTGACTCTCACAACGCTGTTAGCAGACATAACTTCCAGATCGTAGATAATTTCGTTTGCCTGGGAACCAGCATAACCACCAATGATAACGTGTGCCCCAAAATCCAACATAGAATCGCTAAAGTAAATTCTTGTTTCGACGAACAATGACCGTAGAGCCACTCATCCCGCTATCGTATGATGCAGAAGTTTGGATGAAATAGACATCGGATGAGTGAGGCTCGGCAGTTTTCAAGAGGAAAATGTTTGGGTAGGACTTGATTCTTCACGCATAGGCAATGGCGAATACCGCAGCTATGGAACGAAGAGCTGTATGAGATTTATGACGAAATTGACATGGTGCACCGAATAGACAGACAGCGACTACTCCGGCTAAATTATGTTGTCCGATTGTATGCGAATTCTCCAGTTGTGAAAGTATTAGATGCAGTATCCGGCAGATAGCAGATGAGAAAAACGACCTGCGCTCACTTGGTATTTCCAACTTGTATTAAACAGCGATCACCACAGAGAATTTTTGATTTAGCTTTAACCGCTGCCTTGACCGATGAAGAAGAATTACTTAATTAAAAAGATATCTAAAATTGAGCAATATTTTCGGAGTTTAGAACGAAGTTCGGAAAAATTGGTTTCCGATCCTAATTGTATTGTATATATATGTTGATATATGCATGTATATGGAATTTGCTGGTGTGATTTATTTTAGAAATCATGCTCTTCTCTGGTCTACGTATCCTTTTAGGCTTACTTTTCAAAAGTACTATTTATAATTTCAACCAATTTTGAGTAAAGTAATTGCGAATGTTACATAATGTCTTCAGATGTCCATTTAGTCATATTCAATCCTACTCATTTAAATGAAAAATTCAATTTCATTTAATTCAGAAGGTAAAATTTATATTCTCACAATAACATTTTTTATAATACAAAGTCGATGTCACACTTAATAATTCAAATCGTAATCATAATTCAATGTCGCAGGAACCGGATGTCCATGAGCGCTGTGAGCATAGCTTGCTACTCCACCGGGAATTCTATAAACACCGCCAGCTACGTAACCGCCGGGAAAAGACTGTGCATAGTGTTGACGCGGTAGACGCAGACCTTCATTCGTGTGGCCAACAACGCCATCAGCAGCTGCCAAATCGAGGTAATTAGCTTCATTCAAAGGAACGCACCCAACGAAACACTGGATTAATGAAATAATCACAATTGCAATTGAAATATACGAAAATTTATTCATTTTAAAATGAAACGTGTAGGCCTGTAGGTATTCAAATTAAAGTGCCGCAGTGAAATCACTTAACAAACAGAACTTTGCTAGAAACGTTTGAATACTAACGAGACCAATTAGCTGAGCTACGCATTTATATGAAAAGGAAGTTCCTGAGAAAGCAGTATGCAGTAAGAAGTAAAAAGATTTAGATTTTTTTTTTACATTTTTTTAATAAGGCGAAATGCCAAACTGGATTAGAAAAAATTGTATATTAATATTTTAAAAATATTACAGATGCACGCGTTTGAAATGGAGATAAAAATATATCTAATGAAATTTTTAATTAAAGGGTTCTTCTGTAGGGGTTATAGCTAGTGAAATTGTAAAGAAATTTAAAATAAACTTGCATTGTTTTTAAAAACTCCGAAGCCACCACTGAACATTTTGTAAAAACCCAGAGTGTGTAATATATAATAGAGTTGCCAGCTGTCTAGAAAATAAATTGTTTTATATAAGAGAGTATTTAATTTCCATTTAGATGACAAGTGAATGGTATTCGAGAATTATTTACCTGACCTTCATTTTATTAAACAGAGTTGCCATCTTGTAAAAATATAAGCGTCAACCAAAAAATAAATTAATTAAACATCGAAATTTTCATGCTGAATAAAGAATTTTTGGAAACTCCACTATCCTATTCATTATATGAACAGAGTTGCCATCGAATTTCTATATGAAACTAACAATTTCGAAAAGGTTTATGGAGCACATGTTTTTGAACAGAATTGCCAAGAATTAGAAATATTCAAATCAATTTAACGCATAACCCGTTAACATCCATGCGGTTGAAGTTACAAGACTATTTCTACCCCTACATTTACTCATTGCACACCTCCTGAACGAGTTGACGTAAACAACCCGCGTAATGCTTGGGTCATGGCTAAAATTTAAGCAACTTTAGTGGAACCATTGAGACCGATTTGGTTTAGAGATTTAGCCGATTAATGGTTGAAGGCTGACATAATGAAGCGCAAAATTATGCTGGATTTGTAACGTGAGAGGGACTCTGTCCTCGAGTTCTATCATAGAATCCTCTGATGAACGTCTTGTCACAATCGAAGGCGGAGTTCTTTAAAATGTCACCTAAGCCCCGACTAAAGAGAAGGAGGATGTGACCAAATATGCTTTTAATAACAGACCGTCAGGTATTTATATTCATTGCTAATGCTTAAATATCAAAAATCGACTGGAGACCTCAATGTCATGAAAACTAAAGTTGAAAACCTCAGCTTTTATGACGAAATATCCACCGGTGGTTTGATACTGATCGATTTCGACCGAAATATGATTGCGTGTAGCACAAAAAAACTCATCAAGCTACTTACATAAAAAACCCGCAGCCAGATCGATCATGCTGTGATAGATTGACGTCCTGTCGGCGATATTACAGATGTGCGTACACGAATAACCCTTACTTGTAGCAGCAAAGATACGCATCCGATTTCCTACTCGACATGTGTTCCTGCTCTACGAGCCAACTCATAAAAGTCGCCAACTCCGACAACGAATATATTGGTTTCGACAGCGAAGGTAAAACCAATTGTCTACTTTGCAATGGTGCGATGGAAAGCTGTGTGAGGGACATACCAAAGAGAGACACATTTATAAAAAAAATGCAATTAAGTGAATCTGAAGAATTTGGGAAGCTAGCAGCAAATGGCTGGATAGTGTTCGAAATATCAATGTAAAAATTGAGCGATTCATAAAATATTTTAAGACCAGAACATACTTATGTAGGAAGCAAGAAAGTGATATTATAATCAGTATTCCAAGCAGATGGAGAGTGCAAATACCATGATGAAGTCTGAATAGCGATTGCTTAGCGTTATTCAAACAAGAGTACGAAAAACTGAGGAAACTCATGCATCAGCTTCTTTGCAAGTATTGATTGATTGAGTCCATATTTTATGATTGAAGCCTAAGTGTGAACTTCCCCATCTGCCGCAGGAATAACCGTCGGTTAAACCGCTTTTATGTAGTGCAAGACAAAAGCCCACCGTCAACGAGCTGATTTGAACTGGTAAATCTAACAAAGGCTGGGCATACACCCCACACACCAACTTCTACATTTTAAAGTAGACTTCGAAATTGATATTTATATCGTTCGCTTCAACAATCAATTCAGCAAAGCGACTACGCTAGCTGAGCCATATCATTCGTAAGGGCGACAAAGTTTTCGACGCTATATCAGCAGACAGAGAAAGAGGAAGATATTTACTCCGCTATAAGGTAATGTTGGAGGAGAATCTGACTTTGCTTAGTGTTTCCAATTGGTGCTGAATAATAACAAGGAACGCCTGGTGCGCTATTTTCTATTCGGAGCCTAGGCCAATAAGAAAGAAAAATTTTTAGAAGAATAAAACTTTTTTTCTTAAAGAACTTAAGCAGAAATATATAACAGTAAATTTCACAATATACTACAAAAATCGATGTTTTAGTTTCTCATTTATGAATAAAAAATACAGTTCTTGATTAATTAATGCACCATTTCTTTCGAAGATCCAAATTCATACACCCTGTATAGAATTTAAGGGAATTCCACAAAAATAAACAGCGTAGAATTTGAGAAAAAATTTAGTCGGCAGTCATCTTTTATAAATTAAGCAAAATCTAGTAAAAATATTTAATAAAAAATTACTTTCGTGCAATTTAAGATTTTTTATTGAAGTTTTTTCTTAATGCGAATGTTTTGTAAATAGTTTTTCTTTGCTTTTTATTTATCACGTTTTCATTCTTCATTGAACATATTTATTCACGAAGTGAAAATATATATATATTTTTTTTTTTTTTTTGGAATGTAAAGTTTTTAGTGCCACAACAATTAGTAAGCAAAATTTAAGTTGTTTTGGGGGTGCTAAAAATATATGTATGACTCATGAACAGGCTTTTGATCAGAAAATTAATTTCATTTCTTCGGTAGTCTTATTCTGGTAATGATTTTTGCAGTAGTCAAAATTTTTACTTCTGTTTTTTTTTTTTTGCATAAATATTGATTGTAAAGAGGAAAGCTCATCTAGCCTATTAAAAATTAATAAATAAAGAAAATAATAAAAAGGATAAAATAATATATATGTAAATAGAAAATAGAAATATAGAAGTAAGTATATAGACATCTAGGTCCGCTCGTGAAGAAGTTTCCGACCGATTGACGTAAAAATTTCATCAGATTATTTCTATTGTTTTTGGAAAGTTTTGTACGAAAAGAAAATTTCGGGAAGTATAGTATAGACTGATCTATTCGATGAAAATCGTATTTATACTTTGATAAATGGATTTATGTTTAGATTAACAGGAATACCACTCTTCTTTTCGAGAAGTATTCCTACCAATGGCCTACCATTTGGATCGCTTTACTTTAATATTTCCTTTATCGATCTGTTCGGAAATATTATATGTACATATATAAGTGTGTACGTACTAATGGAAGACCTTTATATTCTGGAAATGCACCAAAGATGTGGAAACAAGTTCAATTTACTCGAAATATATTTATGCTTTTACGGGAAAGGGACCAGCGACAGATTGGCAAAAATTTGATTTTGATAGTTGGAAAGTATGTTTCTTATATTTTCAGCTGAATTATAAAATTTTTAGGATGATACTCTCCAACAAAACATAACCAACTTTGTCTAAAGAATAGCTGTGAAAAAAGATCTTAATACTTGCTCCAAGTTACTCCACCAAAAAAATCAGTTCAGAAAATCGTGATCTGAGTTGCTCTATTTCTTCTTAGAGCAGACTCATGAAACAAAGAGTCGAGAAATTTAGAGCAAAAAAATTTTCATGAAACACAATATTGTGAGATAGAATAACCTAGAGCAGCTCAATTAGTAAACATATTATAAGATACTTCATTTCATTTTAAAATTCGCCCTGTGTAATCCGAAGTTTATAGAGCTCTGTATCATTAGATCCTTGAGAGCTTATTTTCATACAGTCAGTGCTCAAAACCATCAGGCGTGGCACTGCAACTCTATCTCCGCGCATTAAGTGGATGTCCACTCAAATCGGCATAGTCATTTACACGACAGTCCCCGGACGACGTCTGCTTGCTTCCTTTGGCGTCTGAAAGTAATGAAAGACCATACAAAATTTCAATGATTTTACTTTCACTTAAATTTATTTGAATTCAAGCATAATAGGTAAAGTGGGCACGCAACGGCAAGTTAGGTTAGCTTAAACTGGTTTACTTATACATTTCTCACTTAGACGATACTATGTCTATGCTATTAGCTGACACACTACATATGCCATATCTGTACTGCTGCAACCTTTGTGGTATCGGTAGCTTAAGAATTTTGATTTTTCCTTGTAAATTACTATAAGTAATATAAGTTTAAAGCTCACGACCTCGCTTCTTTTTCTGACTGGGGTCAGTTTGAAATGCCTAGTGAAACCAGGTCGCTCTGCACCAGATACTTCCAACGGACTGGAGATCTACCTTTCCTTTTGATTTCACCGTAGCCGCCGGTACAACGAATACCTTCAAAGCTAGAATACTTTTTCCCATTCGGACGTCGTAATCTATCCAACGTAGCGGCTGTCTCCTCATTCACTGAACTATATTCACGCCGCCACACAACTCGTACAGCTCATGTTCCATCGTCTGCGGCATTTGTCAGTAGACTCTCTGGGCAGACAAAACAGTTGTCGATATCGTCCAGGCTCCGGAATCATATAGTAGAATGGAAGAGATGAGGGACTTGTAGAGTTTGGTTTTGGTTCGTCTAGAGGGGTCTTTTCGTTACATTAGTCAAAAATATCATAGCATCTGTAGGCAATAGTCAACTTGTGTTGGTTATTTTTGAAGGTCGGTCTGAAATCTCGTTTGTGCCGAACGTTTAGCAGAGATCATACCAATTCTGACTGCGCTTCTCGTGTTGGGCATTTATAATTTACAGTTCATAAGCTTTTCGTGGATACCGAATTCAAACATAGCGGCGCAGAGGTAGCTCCTTTTTGGACTGTCCAAGGCTGCTTTAAAACCGATGAAGAGGTGGTGTGTCGATTTTCTTTTTACGGCTCTTTTCCGAGAGTTGGCACATAGGGCATTTAACCAGCTTTAGAATTTTGATCGATCGATAAAATATTTTGTGTGATATTAAAGAGATTAATCCCACGGTTATTATGGACTGGGCAGAGCAGTTCCTCGCCGCCGCAGTATTTGAATAACTCAGTGGTAAACCATCGAGTCCAGAAAGCGGAAAATCGGTTTCGAGTTTAGTCAGTGCCGGCTGTTAGAGCTTTTTTTCATATCTAGATTTCCTCTTTGGGTGCTACATGAGTTATGAGTTTGGTACGGCTTTTCCCTTTTTTCTTTGTCTGAAATTACGTTTTGCTTCTTTTTTCAGTGTCGGTATCAGCCAGTTAGGAAGTCTCTGTTTTCTTCAATACAGGCCGACTAATCTCATCGAAGCAACTCTTTCTCCGACATTGTCGAAAATCATTTGGTTCTGTAGTTGTAGTACATAGAGATCTTGGAGTGTTGCTTACTGATGTACAGTTTTAGAAGAGTGCTCACAAAAGGTAAGAGTACAAGTTGGGCAGATAACCGTTTGGCTGTTTGCTGAGATAGCATCTTTAAACATAAAGACGGACATTCTCTAAGGTACAGAGGCAATTGATGGGAATGTGCGTATTTCGTTCCGATGTTTCATCATGGCGCCTGAATTTTCCGTCTATCGTGTCGAAGATTACTTCTTAGCACACACTTTGCGCTCTTATGTCATTTCTAGACATCTCTGGGGACAGCATCATTTCCTTCAGCCACCAGGTGGCCGCCAATCAGCGATAAATTGCAACACTTCGCTTTGATGCTAGTTGTGTGGCGGGATGTTCATCGAGAGCGGTGAGTTTCAGAAGTCAGCGACAAACACAACGCCAAAATGTACGCTCCTTTACACGGCCGTTTGAGCATATGTCACAAGGATAGGAATTCATTTTCGGCCTTGGTCAGTCCAACACAACCTATTATTTCGTATGAATGCAATACCAAGTCTTGGTCAATAAAACCAGCGGTCTGAAGTGGGATGAATACTTACCCAATCGTGGCACTTCTTAATATAATTAATTTACTCTAACAAAAAACTTGCTTTAGCTTCTAATTATAATTTGTATGGCAACTGTTCAGTATTGTGTCTATGCAATGTCGCCGAAAATGACATAAAAGTAAATAAAATATATTTTTTAAATATAAAAATTGTCAAATGGGCAATGTATAGGAAAACAAACAAAAATTACCATACGAAAAATGTGAGTAAAAGTGTAAAATAATAAACAAATTCTGACTTTCATACGAGTAAATTAATTATCTTATCACCCAGCCCCAGCCTACGTCACACATATACATGGAACGCTTTTGTCGTGCTCTGCACTCCGACTTGGACCTAAGTCCAACATGTGTCAGCTGGTTTCGTCAAGCAACGGAACACTGTACCGAATTGATTTTGCAAAAGAGACGCGGACCCGCCTTCTGGACAACAGTTAAGAACTTCATATTTCCCAGCCGTCAAACATCGCTGCTCAATCAGAAAATACCAATCAGCATACACCCGAACCGACTGTCGGTTAGCGATTGTCATGCGCTCTTCTTCGACATCGTTAACGATTATGTGGAGCGCGCACCGCGCTACTCCATCGAAGCGGCCACAAACGCGCTACTCTGGCAAATACTCTACTCCCTCATGGGTATTATGGCGCTCGGCACTTTGTTGGTGACCACCATATTTGCATATCGTAAGTTCGGTAAAACGTTGCAGAAATCGCTCGATCCACTAGCCGCCGTGTTTGAGCCTGAAAAACGCGCGGCAGCCTATGTGAATAGAAATTTGCGCGTGGTGAAGTATGAGTTGCAGCGACTGCATGTGAGACACATCATACAACCCGAAGAGGTGCTCGCACCTGATGGCACTGCGACGCTAGTACTGAAAGTGGCATCCAAGTTGAGTTTCCTGGATGGCATAGTAGGCAGTAACACGCACTGCAGTGGTCGTTTATTTCGCCTACAAGAGCTTAATACGACTACAAAGCACGAGTACAAGACGGAAGCAATTGCAAAGATGATGCGCTTTATAAACAATTACTCGCGTAAGCTACGCTTGATGGTTATTTTCGATGAAGATCCCATTTATGAAGAATTACTGAGACGTCGTCGCTCGCATCCGGTGAAAGCTGCAACGCCACTCACGCTAAAAAATGTGGGGGGCCGAAAGAGCTCGGGTAGCTACTCAGCGCGTAGCATTATCTCACGTTCCAGCAGTCCGCCCATCAGCAAACTGCCCGGTAGTCCGCGTCTGCCCACGCAAATACCACGAAACCTCACGCGACGCGCTTCAAACATAGCAATGAAAAAGTAATTTCGAGCTTTCGATGGCGCGCACCGGGCCACAGTGGTGTATTAATGCTTAACGTTAGCGTGTGAAAATGTAGAACAAAAGACCAGGTGAATGAGTTTTTACGCAATTTATTTATTGCCTGATTGCTGTACTTACAAGAAATTGAAAATTTTTTGTAATCACTCATGTTTTTAGCAAATATTCGTAAATATTCAAAATACATAAATTGCTTAAATACTAAAACGAAAAATAAAATACATACATATGTATATAGATATATATAAAATAGTATTTTAAATTAAAAATCATTAAATCGTAACTGTAAGTTCATGTAAGGTACATGCGTATGTGTTGTTTCAACTATAGTGACACAACAGCGCGTTGGCCGTGAAAGGGTTAAGGAGTGCGTGGGTGCCCCTTAGAGACAGTGAAAAGTGCCAAACAAATCTGTTGCGTCGGTAGTTAGTAGCGCGCGTAAGGACGAAATATGGACACATTTCGGGTTTAAAAGTGGAAGACAATATAAAAGATATTGCAAAGAAGGGTTAAAGTAAAGTTGGAAAATCTTAAGCCAAACCAAATAACCGCTTGTTAGTAACTGAAAGAGTGTATAGAAGTACAGAAACAGTAAGTGTTTAATTATAAGTAAGTGCAATATCCATATGTGTGTTTATGTACGTGTGTTAGTAAGATAAAACTTAGTGTGTGAAAATTCTAGAAGATTTTTTACAGCAGGATTGCAATACATTTCTACATATATTAATAATCAAGCCGCTGCCTCTGCGCCTATTTGCATACATTAGCCTCGTGTGCAGCCTGTAAATGCCAAGTGCGCTGCCGCTTAGAGTTGCCATAGTTTGCCATTTATTATTTACTGCCGATTTTCGTTATTTTCTTTATTATTTCCACCATATTTAGGTACGTTGTGTTGTTGCTCCATATATATATATTTTTTATCAATTATTTGTTTGCATTATTTATTCATTCTGCTATGAGTAGTCTCATTCTGATTGTGTGTGTGTGTGTGCGCGTGTGTTTTGTGTTTCAAAATATCACGTTAATTAGCATTGATCACGATTTTTACTCATTTATAAACTCGTACGTATGTATGTAAGTATTGTTGTTATTATCTGTCTTTTATAATTTCCTTTTTTTTTTTGTTTTCAAGAACTTATTTGAAGAATCTACCAGTACTGGCACGTGGTGGTGGTGGTGTTGGTATATGTGCACCCTCAGCACGGTAGCCATTCTCATCGGCAATATAGGTGATCGTATATAAGACACCATCGGGTCCAGTGTAGGAGTAAGAGCCTTGCATGACCTGTGAAAATAATAATAAGAATAATATAAAAGTCAGCTGTCTGATCAGATGAGTTCTAGCAAATGTGCGATAGTTTAAAATAGGCAATTGAAATTCTTATTGAACAAATAGCATATGACAAAGACTGTAAAATTTCACTATAGGATCCCTCAATCTCTCTTTGGGTTCCTTAGAAATGAAAATATTTCTAAGCGCTTACGTTCATCACATCTCCTTATCACTTGATCTGAAGTGATCTGTAAACCGATATAATGTTTTTGAAGTTTCTTTTTTTTAATAGTCTATTACAATCACAAAGTGGAAGTCTCGAACGCAAAATTCCATCTATTCTTCTGAAGTCTTGAAGGTTTAGCGAGGTCTATATACAGGGTTTCCCAATTAGAGGCGTTATTTTGTCATTCAAAGCAACTTTTGACTTAAGAGATCGATGGTTTCGTTTCTTGTGTGGCACATAGCACGGCCTTGTTGAAAAAAAAGTTGTCCAAATCGATACCAACCAATTCTGGCCATAAAAAATCATTCATTAATCCACTTATTTTCGATAAAGTAAGGGACAATGACCCTGCCGTACTATAAACCGCACCAAACCATTATAAGCTGAGGATGTAGAGGCTTTTCAATAATAAATATAGGGTTATTGCAGCCCCAGATACGACAGGTTTGCTTAGCATCATCGTTCGATTTCATCGTAGTTTTTACTTTGCTTCGGCAAAATATCACCTCCTTTTGGAAAACCCTTCCTTTATTTATAAAAATTCATCGAACTCTCACTCTCTCTATAAGTGATAGTTCATAGCCGTTGGTTAAGAAAGCTTTTCAGCTCAAAAAAGCATAGATGAGTCCTATTCGGATTCATGTTTTTTGCCCAGAGACCAACTTGTTTTTTGATAGACTAATTTAAGGATGTTTGTGTGTTTCATAACTAACAGTTCGCCTCAAAGTAAGCTCGAGGATTGGAGTACTCATTTATAATAATATTAAATTATTTCTATTATGCTTGTATTGGAGTAGAGAAAACCGCTTGAAAATCGAATATTCGATTTTTCTTCCCGAATATCATAATTCCATTTTCACCATTTGAAAAGTTATTTATGATCGAATATTCGATAGCTGGAGCTTATACAGTTTTTTGTTGTTGGCCAGCAATTATACGAGTATATCATAATAAAAATTCTGCGATATCCTAATGAAAAATTTGCGGCTTCATTTCTATCGATCGCTTGCCTTACAATAAGAACACCCTTTAAATGCTGAAATCGACATCTTCTTAAGGGCAAGCGCATAAATTGTCTCTTGCTATTCGTACTTTCTGCTACTGCAATATCTTCTCAAAATAGCTTGTACTATTTTTGCCAGCTATTATATAAGGCAACACCCCGTCAACCTTCCCATAACCTTTGATGCGCTTGCCTTTTTCAGAGAATGTAAGTCTTTAATGCTACAATTCCCCCTTTTTGTCCAAGTTTGCATCTGATTTGTGGCAGGTGACGTTCTGGGCGGACCTTAACGCAGCCTACCTGTAAAAGTATTATATAATTTCCTTTCTCAGAGACTTTGCGTAAGGCTTGAGCGCCTCCTCTAATTTGTGATATGTGTCTTCATGTTTTTTCCAACAAATCGAGGGACCAACAATTTATTCTTCGTTTCCGAACGGCCTTTCTTTCTTTTGTAAGAAGCTTTTATTTCATATCAGAAATATATGACGATTGCAATTACCTGCGACTGCAAGGGTCGACTTAGGACTCAAACCCGGATCTTTCGTAAGTTATTAAAGATTCTCCGCGTTATTGAAAAAATTGTGCAACTGTAAAAAAGGCTAAGCCTTAAAATATGTACCTCTGTTCAAAATAAAATGATCTTTACTAGCAGATAACTTGATTTAAAAATCACGCCAAAAAGTATGCTTTAATACTTTCAGCATATCTCAAGTGATCTGCACACTGCGTATGCTGCTCATGCGCACACAATTTATTGCCGAATTATGCAAATTCTAATATATTATATGTACATGAATGTTAATACATACCTACAATATAACAAATCAATTTAACAGTAACTCACCTGCGCTTCGACTTGTGTACCCGGATTCTTCAAGTAGCCGGCTTCATCAGCGCGTATGCCATTGCTTGTTTCGTAGCTATGTTAGAATTAATCGAAAAAGTATAAACAATAATTAGTGTTATTTATAATAATATTTATTTTTGTAATAATACATAAAGTTAGATTAAAAATAAATTCAACGATACTTTCAGACATATACATATTACATTATAACCATAAAATCCATTTAGGTGCCTTATATATCTTTTATAAATGAAAAATAATTGTTTGTAATTAACCGTTATATTGTGTGGGTGATTATAAATCCCACAGCGACTTTTATTTGCATCAACTTGCATATTACACCGGCACAGGTACGCTAATCCACAAAACAGATCATCTCTCTATCGCAAAACTTACTTGTATGTGTACGAGCCATCCGGATTGAGATCGAAACCCTGCTTCAATATCACAGCATTGGCTTCATAGCCGCGCGCTTGTGGTAACGGTATACCACGCTGTGCCTTCACGCTGTCTATGCACGAGAGTGTGATCACAGCGGCAGCAGCAGCGAACAAGAATAATGATGTCTTCATGATCTGAAAATGGCAAGACATAAAATTGAAAATGACAAATTATTTAATCTCTGCATGGAATTGTGCAGTTTACACGCAGACAATCGTCTAACTGTGAATATCATTGCATTAAACTTGCAAGCTTAATTTTTATAATTTTTATAGTTTTATTTTTCTTTCGAAGCTCCAGCATTTTAAGGTTTGCTATGTGGCCTTACACATATCGTTGCCACTTCTGCTTCCTACATTCGCATCAACATATGTATTTTACCGTTAGTTGCATTCATCGGCATGCATTCGCTGTGGGTGTGTGTTGTCATATTGATTGCTGGAAGCGTGCTTTTAACGACAATTTGGGAATTAAATTTGCATATAATTTGCGTCAAATTGCATCAGGAAAATTTAAAAATGGAATTTACTCTAAAAAGGCAAAATAGATACTTTTAGTTTTGTTTTTAAAAGTTTTTTTTTGGATTCCATATACTCGTATTTTGGAAGGCTCAGGCATTTTTGTTATATTTTTATATTTATGAGGTAAACAGAATTTCTCTCTTTACTTTTTTTTTAAATCTAAGTCAACAATACAATATTTTTTTTGTTTTATATATTTTATTTATATCTTAATTTGCCAAAGACATATACTCTCTGGATTTTAGCTATTGGTATAATAAAATGATCGTGAGGATGATTTTTCCCTCACGTAAAAAGGTATGTAAATGTATGCTGGATACACAAGCGAACAAAAATTGCTATATTTTTATTATCAAATTTTATTACAATAATTTAAACTATAACTTCAGAAATAACCGCGATTATGTTATAAGAAAAATATTTTTTTTTGAATTTAATGCAATAAATAATAAAAAAAAATAAAGTAAAATTAATCAACAACCGCTTGAAAAATTTCATAAAAAATCATAAAAGAAACAGCATAAAATACCTTTTGTGTATTGAGAAGGGTGATGAACTAAATATAATTATTTTTCAAAACGTAAACAAAGTTTATGCTAATCGAAAAAATGGAAAAAGCATAGCCATTAAGCAGAGGTGAGCCACGACATATTTTTGTATTTAAGTGATATTTGAATATAAATAAAATAAAACAATATGGGATAAAAAGCTTTAAATAACAAAAACTCGTATGTATCTGTATATTATATTATAATAAATAAAAACATTTGTTTGTATATTTGTTACCAATGTTGTCCGAAAACACCTGTTTGTTTCTGTAGTTCTTGAAAGGGGTTTGTAAGAAAAATTCATTTCGGAATGTGGAATTATTCAAAATAATTGAATTTAAGTTCTGATTTACTTGAAATTCGTTTCATGGGTAGCTTTTTGCTAAGATTAGCAGAAATACTACTCTTGCCACCAGTAAGTGGAACAAATACTGACTTTGTAGAAAAAATAGTTTTTATCAGTACATTTTTAATAAAGTTAACAGTAGTCTTTCATTGATTTCTTTGGTTTTCTCTCCGAGATCGAAAGAATCATATATACATATATTTTTCGGGAAGTTACATTTATGGATGACATGCCAAAATGTAATATTTCTGTTTCCTGGAAATGAACCGGAGACCTACAACCAAGTTCAATTTGTTTAAATATAACTAATAAGTTCTTTACTGGAATAGGTGATACCTCAACAGATTGACAAAATTGGTATGGCTTGGATGTTAGCATAGATTGTACGTACCAATCCAACTGGTTCTGTTTTTCGACAACGGATTACAAGCTATTTTTATACGTCCCATTAGATTTTGAATAGATACAGATACAAGTAGCTTGCTTGGCATTGGCGTTTGGTCTATATGAATGCAGAGAAAAATACTAGTTGTTAACTAGAATCCAATAAGCTTACATTTTTACACCAACTTGTTCATTGTTCGTCTGTATTCCATGTAAACAACTGGTATTTTTAAAATGGCGATGTCCCACGAACTGTCAGTTGTCTGTCTATGCACCAACTTCATATCAGTTAAATACCAGTTCTTGTATACCAGTTAAAATACTGGTTAGACTTTACCAATTCAAAACTAGTTCATCACAGATTAGTCTTCATCGCGGTAGCCAAAAACCAGTTGGATTAATACCAGTATTCCGAACGGTTGAATCGATTTTAATGAATTTGAATGATTTTGAAAAACTCCCTTCACTGAACATTGTCTAGGGTCCAACTTATTTGAAAAAAACCCGCTCATGATTCACTTTACTCGAAATTTGATACATTATTTATTTTCAGGAAGTGGACCAGATATCGAACCATATATTTGAAGCATAATTGAGACTGTTCAAAGATGGAATGTGATTGTTGTTGTTTTGGCGGCAAGTCTAATAATGTCTTGTCGAAGCTTCTAGTTACTTACAAGTCCTGCTTTTTTTTTTGCAAAGTGGCAAACTAGTCCAAACTTTACGAAAAATACTGGTATTATACTAGTCCATGACAAACTAGAATATTTTTTTCCATTAAAGACTGGTTTAGTTCTGGCTTACAATGAGTTTGTTTGACTTCGTATTCAAAATACTAGTTTTAATCGAGATTGCTCTGCGCACAGCTTATAGAGGTGATCTAGGGATGTTATCTCACAAAAATGCTTGGTTCCCTTTTACTTAATGCAGGTAACTGCTTGGTCTGTCTACTAACAACGCTGTTCCATAATAATTCAGTGTTTGGTCCTACGCTTAAAGAGTTCCGAGACGGGTATACTACTTTGTGTAAATAGTGTCCGGATTTCACTGAAACCATTAAAAGGCTATTACTATTTTTAGAACAGTGCATTATAAAAAAAAAATTGAAAAATTTTCCTAGCTGATCTACTTTCTAAAATACGTCGATTGGGCCTGTGATATTTTGAAGAAAATTCCACAAACCTTTTTTAAATATTTTTGAACGATAACTTTTTTTTAACTTTTTTTTTTAATTAAGAAAGGTACTGGAATTTAAAATAATTTTGGAAAAATGTGACATTATGATTTCACCCTTGATATAACAAGCCGCGGAGGTCAAGGGAAAAAGGTTTATAATTGTGCGGTAATCGGTACCTGTTGAGAAACTGAAATTACTTAAACTTAACCTCACTTTTTATTTGACTCAATACTCGGTGTAACTCATAATTTTATTTCTAGAAGCTACATATGATTATTTAAAAAATTTAAATAACTGTCTTCACTATTTGAGAAAACTATTTTCAAATATCTAGTAATTTTATTTAATTCAGTAAGGAGAAATCGGCAAAATTCGTCATCAAAATATATTTTTAGTACTGACAATTATTAAAAATGCGATGCCTTTCTGCGGTCAATTTACTGTACTTATCATCATCCTATGTCCTTTCATTTTTTATGTTCGAATATTTATTTCTTATTATTTCCTTTCTTTTTTTTATCCATAAAAAGGGATTTATTTGAAAATTATTACTCTAATACCATTTTTACTTGGTTTATTTATTTGAAAGTCTTGACATTTTGAGGAAATTTTGTTTTAGCCAATCTCATTATTTTAATTTATTTAGGGTATATTTTTTACTCAAAATTAGTGGCGCATATTTTTTTAATGCAAAAATGTTTTTATTTCTATTTTTTCATTGCAAAGAAGTATTTTTTTAGCGCCCATTTTCACTTTTTAAATAGAATTTTTTTTTTTTTTCAAATGATATTTTGTTCCTCCATGTTGCACCCGGCAAAAGTTCACCAAGGATATTCACAGATATGCGTATACATCCATATATTTACTAACTGTAAATCAGAAAATAATTTAATTACTTTAAGGAGCGTAGAATTGTATTTCTTTTTAATAATATGTATAGTGGTAGGACTTTAGTAACTTTTCTATTCCAACACCGTTAATAAGACACACACTACACTCGCGCTGTACACTTGAGATCGTCTTCGCTTGAAGGCTCGTCAAAAAACTGTGGTGTCGAACCAAATAAAATCAAATGCTTTTATACTTTTGTGGCGAGTTTGGAGCGACACGGCACAGCTTGCCATTTGCCAATTGCATTTGTGGCAGTATAAAATGTAACAACAACCACAAGCCACGCTAATGGTGAGAGAAGAACCAAAGCAAGTCGATATTAGCAACAACAGAAATGGTAATAAAAAAAAAAATGCAGAATGCAACACTGAAATGCCGACTGAAACCGAAAGAGCATCCGCAGCATCATCAACCTGGCAGTGAGTAATGCCAGTGCAACAACAAGAACAATAATGCGCGATACACTTATAAGCAACAGCAGCAGTCGATTCTATGTTATGTTGTTGTTGTTGTTGTCGCTATAAGCGAGAGCACATCGCCAAAAGCAGGTTGTAAGCATCGTTCGATTACTGGTTTATATTGCAGCAGAGTTAGATGTAAGCAGCGCCGCATAGCATAGCCTAGTGCACCGGCAACCTGACGCATCTGCTTTGCTTTCGTGCGGCGTGTCGTATGCGCAACATTCTTCATTATTGAAATGCAAATGGGCGTTGCGCATGCGCCAATCAATAATGAATATCAAATAAAGCAATAAAACTAAAACGCTATCAAAAAAGCTGGTAAAGCCGAGCTCAGTTCTCGGGCGGAACCGAAGCATATTATTCGAAATAGTAAAATTAATATTAGTAATTGACCGATTTCAATGAGTGTGATTTGGAACTTTTTGTTTTTTTCCGAGGAAATTCCAGAATGCAGATATTAATAATTTAATCTTGACTTAGGTCACACCTCTCCGATAGATTTTTTATTGCTAAAATGGAAAATGGGAGATCTTATGCTCTTGAGACAACCTCTGGGGTACTTCAAGGTGGCTTTCTTGGTCCTCTTTTACGTATCCTTTTTATAAATGAAATTTATGCAGACAATTTAAAACTATTTTAATGCTTTAGTTGTATTACTGATGCTTTACTTTTACAGAAGTTTTTTAAGTGACTTCAAAGATCCCACCACACGTAAAATTTTATATAATTTCTTGGCTCGTTCAAGACTGGAGTATGCTAGTTCAATTTAGAATAAAATTTATCTCACACATTCTTTATAGCAAGTTATACGGATTGGTGTGGTCTAAAAGTAGCAACTGGTAACTACTTAAGAATACGAATTCCCAGCAGGGAAGAATAGACATATAATTACAAAACCCTAAGGGAGAGCCTAGAAGTATACACGGACGGATCAAAGCTTGAAGGGAGAGTTGCCAGAGGTTCGTTCTGAGAAAACCCTCCGATGGAACCCTCGTTCAGACTACCTGACTACTGTAGTGCTTTTCAGGCGGAGATATCTGCTATCATGGAGGCTGCAAAGCAAATTGGAGCCAGCTTTTGAGGTAAGGTATATTTGAACTTTCAGCGACAGTCAGGCAGCAATAAAAGAACTGATCACGCTTACGCGAAATTCCAAATTAGTGCTGAACTGTCGCGGATCTCTACAGGAGATGGCCGAATAGAGCAGTAGAGGTACAACCAGGTAGATTCTTCTTGATAAAGAACGTATTGGTATGCCTTTTGGTACATGCAAACGGCTTCTCAAGGAATTCATATATGAACAACCTACTACAAAGTGGAATGGCATTACAACCTGCCGCAAAACCACGAAAATATGGAAAAAATTAGATAAGAAGATATCGCGGGTGACATGTTGAAGTTATAGGAGTTCTGACAGGCCAACGCAGAAAGACTAGGAGCTCATCCATCCTTATGCGACTGCCCTGCTGTAAAAAGTGCGAAAATTTTTGGGACCCTACTGGTAGATGGTCCATCGAAGACAGTTGACGTAAAAGCCATGGATCTAATGAGGTTCATTAGAGATTCAAAACGGAAGGAGGATGAAATCTGATGGTTTGAGCTTTTGTGGTATCACAATTGGACTAAGTCAGGCTTAGTTGAATCTGACTTGACGCATTATCACAACTACGATGCGCTCTGAACTGAATAAAACTTCAAAAAGCCTTGATCTTGATTTCGCATTGCCGAGGACTCGGTTTTGCTCTATTCTTAATGCTTTCAATATCAAGCCTGTAAGATTTCTGAACCATTGACTTAGTAAAGTAGTAATATAGTTATTTAATAGTTTAAATTGAAATCTCTTTTAATGTGAACAAACTGCATGTACCTGATGTAATAAAATGAACTTGGTTATAAAAACAAATAAAGAGAATGAAGCAACCCACCTCTCGAACGAACTAGACTTTGTGTGAGAATATTCAGATATCCACTTTTATATGTGCAAATATATTTTTATATGTCTTTCTGTCAACCAAACACCATGCGAACTACTGAATGGAGTAGTTCCGATGCAAAAATTTTTATTATATTTTTTTTTAATTTTTTTTTTTTAATTTTTTTTTGTTTTTGTTTTTTTTTCGCTGTGGCAAGAACAAGTGGCATGCAGCAGCGCAATCATATCAAGAAGCGCAGCAATGGCTTATAAGCAACTGACATGATCACATACACCAACCGCTTTATTAGCATTATCAACGCCAGCGGCAGCGACGTCTGCCGGCCCACCAACCACCAATCACAAATGAATGGCAAGGCGAGGCACGGTAACGGAGGCGTCGGCAGTGGCAGTGGCAACAATTGGAGTGCCGGTTTATTGTGCTGCACTCTTTGGTGTACAAAAATCGATGCACAATCTGCACACACACACACACACACACACGTGCGCGTGCGAGAAAAACCAGAAAATTTATGCGATTTGACGATGCAAACGTTTTATTGCTTTGACTTACAAGTTATTACAAGTACTTTTCTGTGATATAATTTCAGATGAGTTGCGGCGATGAGCTGGCGCGCGGTCGGTTGTGGTGGGGGTATTGGTGTTGTAGCGTTAGCGGTGGTGGTGCGCATGCGCAAGCATTTGGCCAACAAATCTGATTTTAGTTTTGCAAGAAACTTCATTATTACAAATGTGAAGTGCTTTTGATGATTTTGATGGGTGTTTATTTGCTGCTATTATATAACATAATATTCTATATTGCTTTATTTTTCAGTCTATTTTATTTCTATTTAAATCATTTTTTTTTCATTTGCTTGTTAACAATGGTATTGTACATGTCAGATATTTATTTAAAAAAAAAAAAAAAAAAAAAAAAAAAAAATTAAGTGGAAAATGTTAAGCTCGTTAGTGTTTTTTGTTAGCCGCCATATGATGCGGCATTTTGCAAAAGTTGTGGATAATTTCCAATTTGTGCTCCTTTTTATTGGCAATAATTTACTTTGGCTAATAAAAATAGTTTCCCTGGGAACTTTGAAAGTACCTTTTTAATATATTTATGAATAATGGCCACATTCTGTGTAGCATTTATGTATGTACAACCATGTCTATATAAATAATATTTGTGTTAAAATATTTAACAAATTGGAAATGGTTATACGCAGACATGGATTACGACATTAGAAAATGGCTGAAGTGAAAATAAAATTTTGTATGGATAATAACTAATTGATTGAAATGAGTTAAAAAATAAAAAAAATAATAATAAATAAATAAGAAGGTTTAAAAACATAAATTATCGCTTCTATTTTGCAACGCTGATTGTTATGGAAGAAACAGAGAGCTCTCACATAGCTCGCTTATTTTTCATACTTTTACTGGTGCTGCTTTTCAAGAACTTTCAATGAGGTGGCTGAAACTCCTTAAGTATTATTACGTACTAAAATTCTTTGAATGTATCATACTAGTAATTTAAAATTTTTTGCTCATTATCATTTTGAGCATCTCCTTGGGTAATAATTTAATTAACAGCAAATCTCAGCCCGAAAGCAATCAACTTGTACTGCCACCAATATTTTGCTAAATAAAAATTATACAAAAAATTCCCAAAAAACAGAAAAACATTGAAATTTTAAAAAGCATTTTCAACTTGAACTTAGGCTACTATTTGCTCTTAACTACTTTCATTTGTATTTCACGAGTCTGTTCTAAGTAGATGCAGAACTCTAGATTTTTTTCTGATTTTCCAAACGGTTTTTCTAGTTGCTTACTCTTCTAACCCCATCCTATTCCACTGTTTATGCCTTTTAAGCACATGCGGTGCTACATATATTAACTTTGGTCTGAGTTACGTAAGTACAATAAGGATAGGAGAGAGATCAATTAAAATTTTTTACCGATACGCTCAGACTTACAGCTGATTCGATTGAGCAGATGCATACTGTGTTGATCACTTTTCGGAATTGACCAGATCGGTCCACCATATCATATAGCTTCCATACATCGATTTTTCCAAATAAGAGCTTTGGATCGAAAAATCATTAAAAAAGAGCATTCAAGACCGTGTAATTTGGTACTCTACACACATAATCATATTCGCGTGTTGATGCTGCAAATCAGCGAAATCGGTAGATGGGTTGTCCAAACATTTTTAATTCTTCCTCTTTACCAGCGTAGACACCCCTTCAGTGATTAGCGCGCGATTCACTCATTTCTTCCTTTCGCTGTTTGGCAACAAATACAAATATTAAGTACAGCCAGGTCCTTTCCTAACTTATCTTTCCAACAGAGTGGTGGTCTCCCTCTTCATCTGCTTCGACCAGCGCGTGTATCGAAAACTATTAAATATGGATTCTTCTTATCCATCTGGATCACATGACTGGCTAGTCTGGTAGAAGACTCTAAATCCTACTCAAAACCTTTTACTCAAAAACAGTTGAGCAAGTTATGGCAGCAGTCTCCTTTAGAAGCCATAAAATGGGCTTTCAGCAAAATACAAAATACCAAAAAAGTTGCTAATTTTTCCGAAGTTTGAAAAAAAAAAAACAGAAAAATAATCCCTTGAGGTTGCTAAGGACAGTTTAGTTAGTGCTTTCATGCGACTTTCTTAATTCAAATAGATTTTAATTTAATGCTGAAGTTTGATCACTCTTTTTTCGATCCTATCGCGGACACCGCTTCCTAAGACTTGTAAAAATGAAAGCTCGGGAAAATGCGGTCAAAGTTCTGCCCGA